CTTATTTTGTAATTGCAGTAAGATTTGAATTATTTTTTTCTGGCCGAACCAAATCATCAGATGAAACTTTTAAAAATACTAAGCTCCTTGTACTCTTTAATCAGTATTTTATACAAAGGTGTTCACAAGTGGTTCAAAATTCGAGCTGCATTATCTAGAAAGGCATAGAGATGCTTGAACAATTGAAAATTTATAAGTAGTCTAAACCTTTATCGTAGTTTAAATCATTACAAGAGAATACCAATAATACCACTATACCACCTATGCCATTCATTTAAGACTGGTAGAAGACACACAGAGAAACCTTTTTCGTGACATTGGTAGAGTTATAGTAAATGGCCAGGTATTAGTCGGTAATGCATTAGTGACATTAGTGGTGTTGAACTTCTTTCCGGAACGAATAATCTGTCCTTGTGGTGTTTGTGTTCACCTTAGTTAAACAAAAGCGAGTAAATATATACGCCACTCTTGATAGAAGCTACTGACAGAGAAACCGTGAACTAAAAATAATATATTATTTTAACATATGTGCCTCGTTACATTTATTTGTTTACTACCAAGAAGTATGGCAACATCATTCTGTTAATAAACCAGTAATACACAATTACTATTCACTTGACATATCCGCCGACCTTCTATGGACGTGTTCTGCAAATAATTTTGTAATAAGTAAACAAAATTATATACGTGTAATTTAACAAATGCCTAATGCGTAGGATTTTTTTCGCCATTTCCCTTTATTGTTGTTATTACTATAAACGAAACAGTCTATCTGGACTATGGGATAATAGCTACCACTTCAAATAAAGTTTATAGGTACCTACACCGAAACACTATTAAAATCAATGAATTTATTCACATTGACACCTCCTGAATTTACAATGTTGCAATTTTTATTGATTTTTTTATTGAGACTTCCTGCAAATGCATTGCATAAATCAGTCTTAATGGAACAGGCATTTTTGGGTGTTGCAGAGCTGTATGTATAAATAATATATCTATATCTATATATAATCTATATATAATATCTATATCTATGTGTCTATAGTGTCTGCGCACACTATTGTTTATGCGAATAAACGGCAGTACGCACTCAACCTGCACGCGTTTCACTTGTTCCCACATACGTAACACATACTTTATTAGAGTATAAATAAAAATAAGAAAATAATTTATAACAAGAAGTTAGAAACTACCTGCAGTAGTTCAAAGCTGTAACGAATAATCGAAATTCGAATACGAAAATATATTAAATTACTTACTAATATTGTCATTGACAGGATCTACAGTATTCTGATAAATGATGTTCGGGTACTAATATTGTCAACCAGACATTGCATTTGAGCTGAAAATTATCTGTATTCAGCATGCACAGAATCAGCTTTGATTGAGAGAAGTTTCTTTCGTACTTGATAGCCTTTTCCGTTTCTTCCCATGATATATGCCTTCCTCAGAACGTTTGTCTCTATGCCCTGTCTTTATAGATGAAGAAAAAAAAAACAACTTATTTGTTTATGGTAAAGGGGATAAACAGGAGACACAAGTGTGTTATCGCCCTTTGATCTGGTTGGGCCTTTGTTAACGTCACTCACTCGCAGCGGAAGAATAGCTTAACATCGGTATCACCCGCTTATTCGATTTCGTTCATTTAATACAATTACGAGTACAAAATATTTTTTTTAAATGCAAATTTAAATTTGTCTTTGGAAAAAGGCATCGATTCCAGTGATGACGAACTTTTCACGTTATAGTTTGTTTCGGCCCGATTTAGATGTGCAAATGATATTTTTAGGGTAGTTTATTATACGTCCCAGGGATTTCCTTTCAAAGGTATGCGTTCTCCGGCTCCGCACAGGAAAAAAGTGTAGTTTATTAAAAAACTTTACATGGACTACCTATCGCGAGAGCTCAAAAAAGCATAACTTTGAAAACCTTTCAGGTTTTCAACCAGGCGGAGCTGGGCCATACCATTTGCTAAACTTTAGCCAGTTAAATCTGTTTTTTAGATTTGCGAGAGTTCGGTGGAGGAAAGATTGTCTTATCTGGAATCGTCGTTTTATCATCAGCTTAAGCTCAGCAGCGATAAGGGCTTTCTCTCGAAGCAGAGCTCACCTGATCATCAACGACAAATCTGAAATTCTATCTTTAGATCAATAGTAATGGATGTAATTTATCTATAATATGTATGTATTTATTTATTTATTTGGAAACTTAACAGCTATGTTACATATATCATGGGTGAAGTTAAACATTTTTTAGACTCTTAGCCAATAATAAAGTTTCGCGACAAGTGAAAGAAAATTGCGTGCACCACTTAAACATAGGCAATTGTACGTATTATATACTATCTACGTATTATATACTATAAAAATATATAAGTATGTTTATCAGCGGTCTGGTTACCATAGTACAGGCTCTGCCTAGTTTGGGATCAGACGGCCGTGTGTGAGATGTGTGAGATATATTATTATATTAATAGTGTGAAACCTGTGAAACTCGTAGTCATAGTGTGTACATTAATATAAAAGTCGTGACTCATTATTCAGTATTAAATAGTTGTCCATACAGTTTTCCGGCGGTGGATCTAGTTATTTTGCATTAGATTTTTTTGTAAACGCACAATATTATGTAAATTTATAACAATAATGGGAAACAGTGTGTCTGTCTTGCTAGGTCTTGTAGCATATTTATTCTTTGTAGGTATCTGCAGGAGTAGGTAGTCGCAGGACGTTATGTTTTCTCATAGGCGCAATTTCAACTGTCAACCATACTGGCATTTAATAAAGAACTCCACAGACAGACAAACAGCAACTTTTATAATTAATTGGAAACCGTAGGTCATCATCAATCAATCTTTGCATTCAATCTGAACCCACACAGGCTTTGCACACATTCAAAAACTTTACACGCCAAAATAAAAATATCTTGTCATTTCTAGTAACTAAGAACTCTAATGATCTAGAAATAAGTCCCTACTTCACAAAGTTAGTATTAACGAGTAGCATGTCATGTAGACTTGCAGAACAAAACTAAACTAGTAACGTAAGTATTTTAGACTCAAGACAACTATAGTTTGCTACTACACATCGCACATTAATCAAATGCCATCTATCTCATGGATTCGATTAAAAATAATTCGAGCAGTTGAAAAAACCAATAAAGTACCTACTATTTTTTTCCGGATCACATAATTAGCATAAATAATCAGTTTCGTTATTGGTTTGAATTAAGTTCTTATTTTCACTTGATTTATTATAATACAGATTATAATTATTAGGTGTATTGTATATCAGGCATAGAGATCCCTTCCTTCTAACGCACGACATTAGCCGCTTGCGATTCATACATGAATTTACACATTTTTTAAATTTTTAAACATTATTAACTAATACAATTAGGTACGCAATATCTATAGATAGATATGTCAAAATTTAGTCTCCATACGGTTAGCGCGACGAATAAGGCGAACGAACGAAGTATATACATTTATGTATTTATATTTTCTTTGTAAACTTTAAGGAGATACCTACATATTTTGTGTCTAGTCTATATCTATAGTCTAGTTACATCTACGCCCCTAAATACTTAATTCGATTTGAACCGTGACGTTATAAGTACATTGAATATTATTATAAATTTCTATCTATCTTGTTCTTCCACATACATACTATTGTCATTCCAACGTTAACGTTTACAAATAAAAGTTAAACAATGGAAGTTTTTTCCATAATTCTGTAGTTGGCATCGCAATTGCCTTGAGAGTTGTCGCATTTCGCGTCATGTTCAAGATGCGAGTTGACACTGCGCTTCCGTCCTGCACACATACGTAACCTGTCGATGTTGCCGGCGTCTACCTGATATGGTCAAGTTAATATTATTTTTATTTAGTTGGCTATTCATATTATGTCGTATATTGACGCGACGCCCATATAAGAAGATTTTTTAACATTTGCACATAAGATAATTTAAATGCATGCAGATATATTTGAAATATCTATTTTATTTTACTACGCTAGTTTTTACAAATGAAGTTATAAAAATAGAATAAACTCATAACTTATCAGGTAGTTCTTGTGGAAATTTTAGCGAGAGGGCTGTGTAGTTACGTTCTATAACTAAGTTTATGATAAACTTACTTTCATTAAAGTTAAACCTACTGACTAATATATCATACATAATAAACTTAAATAGCCTGTAGGTTAATCAAGACATTTACTGGTAACCAAAAGTAGAAAGTATGTACATATGTATGTTTCGGAAATTAATATAGAGAGTTCTTGCTCCTTTTCCATCATTTTTATAGTCTTGTCAGAATACTCGCATATTTACACGTAAGTATGTATGAAGTAGCTACACAAACACCACTTGAAACTATTTATGTTATCGCAGGAAACATATCAAATAGAAATAATAAAATCCCCATGGCTACTGTAAACAATAAATTGAACAAGAAGCGATAAACTTACTCCTACTTATCGCACTTCGCAGCGGATTACAATGAAACTGTGGCAGTCGTAGGGTCGTTTAACTGAAAATATGATAAAATACACACTTTATATTTTCTAAAGACGTTATTGACACTTCACAGAACTACATTTTTAACTATACTAGTAATCGTTTAGAGAGCGAAATTTGACTACAATTCATGAAATTATTTACCTCCGATTGCAGCGTCGAAAATACGAAAAATAAACGGTTTCAAATTTTATTTCAAGAATAATCAGAAGCGTAATAGCAATCTTCCCTTGGTCCAGTAATTTTTTTAAGATTGTCTCAAACCTACACTTATGGCTTATCACCCGCTGGTAATAAGTTATTATAATTCCATAGCCCGTTGGCTAAGGAATTAGAATAGCTAAAAACAGGTTAGGTATAAGTTTCAGCATAAAAATAATACGGTTTCTTAAAAAAAACTAAACTTAAATTGTTCTCGAAACGAATCTATTAAGATTTATAATATTTCTTTTATACAAATATTTTTAGTATACGGTTTAAATATTATGTTTTGGTTCGTGACATTTCGCATATCCGTGAATCCACTCACCTCGAGTTGGAGGCTGCAGAATTCGGATGTGGAGACACGACACGCCCGAGCGCTGCCGGCCAGCCTCGCGGACTGCGCGCCGAGCGCCGGCACCCGCCTCGCCAGGGGGCGCGCGCACAAAGCTCACCTCCCGCTCTCATCGATCCACCCTTCGTCCCACCGCTGCATCCCTACCTGACAGCGCTGTATTCCCTGCCACATAAGAGTTCTAAATGACCGGCATCTCTCGATGACGTGGGTAAGCTCGGTTATGATGATTGCTGAGCTTTATTTTTTACTAAGTGTGTAAAGACGAGATGAGTGTCTGAATTATTCATTCAACTGTTTTATGGTTGATTTGAATCTGTTTTTTTAATTAATGTAGAGAATACTGATGTTAATAACTTGGGAAGTTAACGATGCAATTAAAATGCATTCATAACAAATAATAAATTTTTATTTCGTTTAAGAAAATGTTAACTCATAAAATCACAACATAAAATGTACATTTTTCATCACAACATGCGTCACTTAATCTCCACATCGTCCATTCCTTTACAATATTTTCTTATCATTAATTGACAAATATGTATATTCAACTTTCACACAACAAAAAATAAAATATAAATAGGTATCATTACAAATCTGATATGTTCGGTCATATTTATATATCTCTCGACTGCATGTGACATTTAATACAGTTTATAGCTGACAATAATAATTTGGTACATTCTTACAACAAATGTATACATAATTACATTTAGTAGGTTGGTACATTCATCAGGAAGATAAAGACGACACAAAGTATACATATGAATACATTCAAATAAATATGGCTACCACTAACAATTATGCGGAAGCGTACACACAATAATATGAATACAATTACTATATTTACAATGTTTTATGTGCCTTCTTATAAATTCGCACACACGTGTATGTAAGCAAAAGTACATAAACAAAGCCGTGGTTTGAGTACGTTGTATAAGCCTAAAAATCAGAATACTGAATGTTATAAAGAAAGGAAAATGGGGGGGAGGGTTTTATAGTTTATAGACCGACGTAGGTATAACTGCCAATTACTATCGCAGAGTATGGCTCTGCTCACCGTCCTTAACTCTAGCTCTCAAAACTGAATGAACAGAGGCAGACTAATGTACTATAAGATACTTAACTTCCATATTTTTTATAAAACCACAAACTACTTAATAAACAATTTATTCAAGCCTTGCCAAGATCAAAAGCACTCATCCTAGCATGGGCGGGACAGTAAATCTCGAACTGAAGTCATAAGACTCGAAAAGTTTAGTAAAATAGTACATATTGATTGCATTGAGTCACATTTAGGAACAAATGAAAATGCCGTGTTGCATGTAAGAATCAAAATTAAAGCGTGCAAAGAGATTTTATTATTCTACCTGTCATACGTTTTTGATGCCTTTTTAATAGTTATTCGGAGTTTATGTCTAGAAACGGCTCTATACATGTAGACACACATACTTTAAATTATCGTTATGTATCTCATGTTATAAAAATTCGGTATCTACAATTTTTTTACAAAAACTTTCTCGTTGGTGTCACGTAATTCAACTGCAACTGTGAGGAGAATCGTAGAGTGCAGAGATTATTACAAACAGCTATTTGAATAAAGACCATACATCTGAATATAAACTACGGAACCAATCTGTATTATAGAGTATTACTTTTCTACAAAAAAAATGTAAACTTTTAACTATTTTAAGTGATTAGGAACACAAACAAGGATAAACATACTCTTATTGAATGAAACTAATGTAGTATTTCACACAACGTCTTAGATAGTTAATATCATAATCCTTTATGCTAAACGCCATTATAAGGCCATTATATATATTTTTTTTTAAATGTTAACATAACATTTGTGTTTCCTATTTTTTTTTTTATGAATCGCTAACAGTTATGCATTATCATCATGACTACGTATTATGCAATTTAACAAATTAATGTGTCAGTATAGCACAGTATACAATCTGAAGTATATTGTAAATTTGAAAGATCGATAAAGTTAACAGACCATATTTTTTTTACTTATTTACAGGTACGGTGTATATGTAACCGGAAAATTGAAAACCATATTTGCACTTGGTGGCTTAACCACGCGGTTGTGTGGGCTTCACTGTCTCGCACTCGCTCCGTGTAGGCAAATTTACAAGATATATAAAACAGATATTCTACTATTCCCACTTACTTCTGTTAAGTTCAAAACTCACAATGGGAACACAGTGAAAAAATAATCTTTTATAACCAATTCCACAATCAGAGTACACTTTAAAAAAGCTTTTCGTCATAGACACCTTATGCAAGTTAAAACAGTCTTAAAATAAGTTATCTATTTAAAAATATTTATATCACATCATATTTTGCTACTGATAGGTTTGTAAAGTATTTTTATAATTGTACACATAATTGGAATTTTACAACGGGTTTTTATTTTCGGCTTTTAATTTTCGCCTCATACGATCAATGATTGTGGTAACATGAAGCAGAATATTGCTATAATTACCCACTAATATATAAACAATAATTAAAAGCTATATACATTACACATAAACAATATTTTTTGTACACAATGGTGACATAAATGACTGTATAATACTGGATATTTGGTACTATAAATATGCTTAAAAGATACTATTATATTGATAAGGCAATATTTAAAGTGCTTGTGTGGAAAGTGTATCGATTCTTTACTTCATAGTTAGCAATAAATAAAAAATATCACTCTCAATATAATAAGTGCACGAGTAATCCACATAATTATTTTGTATTAAATAATATATCTACGAATTCGAATAAGTTGTATATTTACTCTATTCATTTACAATTTAAGTTGCCAAATTCGCATTGACAAGAAAATGGAGAGATCAATAATCTTGGCGCTCTATATCCTTATTTGTAAACAATCAAACATGGTACTTTATATTCTTATTTATTTTAAAGTGTCACTTTATTTAACCATATAAAACACTTACAATTCCATATCGGCAATTTTTGAGGATAAAAATTAATACATAACGTACACAAAGTCTTTCCGATAAAATTTAATCATCAGTTATTGAGATATGCATTTTTAAAGGATCCACTTCCTATCTTTCATTATATCACTACCTGTTCTCGCTCAAAGGTGAAAAAAGAGGGGGCAGGAGCTTTCCCTACTTTTCAAGTGATTCGGTGATATTGAGAAATTGTGTATTTATATTAATGTAGCTATGGTATTCTAGTCAATTCGTCTAAAAACTATATAATGGCTATAAGTACTACGAATAGTCTTCGTCGATACTGAATTATGAAAGAATGGAATCCTTAATTTTCGCAATTCGAAGCCTACGCCTTAGCTGTCTTATTACTACTGCTTATCAATACCATTTTAAAACATGTCAACATTGAACTTTTAATAGGTTATCAAAAAAATGATTTGTAATCAAATATGACAAAAATTTATATGGAGGACAATGATCAAATAACACCAATACAGTTATGTCGCTACAGAATCATAAAACAATTCTCACAGTATCTTCAGGCAGACATGAAAATACTTTAGAATTACATTGTGTAAGGTAGGCATTTATATTATCAAAAAGATAAATGCGTATTGAATGTTCGTTCTTTGGAATTCAAAAATATATTACAACGTTCTATCACCTACAATTCGCATTATAATTAAACTAAAAATTAAATATCAATGCATCTCACAGCTTGCAATGTACAGTTGCTATAAAAATTATAATTATCGTGTGAAAATAATACCTACAGTAAAATATTGGTAAAGTTTTCAAATTATCGTACAAAATAAAAAGATAATTATAACTTTGTATAGGGCGTTTTTCTGGACTAAACATTATAACGATACTGTACATATATGCATTATAAATAATATAAATCTATAAATATTACACTAATTGTACTTTCTATATAGCACATGAGGCATTATCGTCATCGTCTCTCATTATTAGCTGAATGTTCATACAGCCTTTACTAGTCCACTGCTGGACATAGCCCTCTCCATAGAAATAAGGTTTTGGCCTATTAGCTGAATGTTGTACTTGCATAATTGTGGTTTTCCACAATCCCTTAACATATTTTTACATTGTCCACATAACTTATGATAACAATAATTTAATTTTATATGTTGTACAACATAACTACCAAGCATGTCTACAAATACTAGGACTAGTAGAAACATCTAAAAACAAAAGAGAGGTAAACTATTTTGGTTACTCTAATTCCATTTATATTAATTACATATTTTATTATAACAATAGATCAAAATGTCAAAATTGGGTTTTGAGTGAACCTCGATGATAATTATTTAGGCACAAACCTATAGCACCTTCGATCTAAGGAGCAACCAATACATATAAGGATGTGTCGGGCCTAAATGTCATATATTTGCTGGGAATATTTAAACCTTAAAACTCTTATCACCGTTTATGCAAGTGATAAATATTTTAAAATTTCCTTGGCCTGTTTTTTAAATAGCACTTTCCAATTGTATAAAAAATATATCATAAGATGTAGGGAAGGCAAAATAAATGTACCGAGTAGGGAGCGCAAGCGCCGATCGAAGTGCATACACCGCGTGCCGCGCAGTGGTTACGCGTCGAGTGCTATAAGTCGCTTTCGATCCATTGCTAGTCGCCGCGACGCAACCTTCTTGCTGCTGCAGTGTTGTCCCTGTACAACCATACCTGGAACCGGATACAAACAATCTTAACACTATAAGTACCTCTTGTGTATGCAAAGAAACGGCTCGGAGTAGTACTCGGTTCAATATGCAAAATAATGGGGACTGACAATATTGATTAACGTATTCCTTCAATATATTTGAGGATCAACGCACCAACAGGATCAACAATTAAATACACATTAAAAGCTGCCCTAAGTTAGAAAAAAAAAAATTATATGAGTATAAAACTCAGTCTTTGATAGGGTATGATGCTAAAGACTTCCTGATAGTAAAATGACCTCGATGTATTCAATGATCCACAGGATTTATAAATACAAATTTTATTTTGTTTCTCTAACCTCCTTCTTAAATTTACGGTACCTGGATGAACGAGCTTTGCTCGGTATTTTTTTTATTGGTAAATTTTCTATAAATGAAACCTAGCTAGATCGATTAATCGCCCCCGAAACCCCCTGAATACTGAATGTCATGAAAATCGTTGGAGCCGTTTCCGAGATTCAGATTATATTTGAAAGTTGAAAATATGAATGTTGAAAGACGAAAATATATACATATATACAAGAATTGCTCGTTAAAGGTATTACATTTTGAAGCAATTTCAAATTTCATATTTGCAGTGGTTTTTTTATGAGTAGATCGGATCTTCACATTATTTAGACTTCAATCAATTTACGGAGAAAACCGAGCAACAAGTAAACATTATTGTTGCTTTGTTCCGATTTGGAAGCAAAGCCAAAAGGAGACAGTGTGGCGTGCACCCCTTGTCACTGTTACACTGTATGACTACACTGTAATAAACTTTATAAGTTCCTTCCTAGAGATGATATTCTTTATTTAGACATCAATATTATGGTATTTACAGATTAAAACTGACATTAATTTTAGAATAAAAACTGTGAATATTGTGTTACGGGGCACAATATAACACAGTTCTATTGGCTAGATAACCGATGCTTTATCATGTTTACTAACACACACGTGTACTGATTACGATATCGTACGGGTTAAAGAAGAAGACATTTGAGAACCTGTAAAAATTTAAAGGCTGTAAAAAATTTAATGCGCTTTAAAATCAATCAATCATTTAGTGTTCTGGGAAAAATGTGAAAATGTAACGTAACGTGAAAATGAAAATGTACGAGAACAGTTTCTTCGTGAAATATAATTGATACATTTTGTAAATTTATTTGGAAACTAAAATATAATCTTCCATTGTTACTACATACATACTTGAACTCTTTTTTGTAAAACTTTTTAAGTAATTCTGGTGTTTATCAAATGCTAAGGCGAGCCGTGTAGTGACGGATTAAGAATATGGAGTGTCACCACCCCGTGGATATCGTAAGAGCCGACTAAGGGAGCAAACTACGCAGGACAACAGCACGGCAAAGATAAGGAAAACTTGAAACAAACCCTATACCAATCCGTCTGGAAAGCGTGGTATAGTAGGCAATAACCTCCTTTCTATATCGTTTTTTTTTTTCTGAATTAGTTTTCGCTATCGTTTGCTTTTTCCGAGGACAGTGTTGTGTAGAGGACGGCCACGTGCGTGCCCAGTGTAATATGCTCACGTATCTAGTGACTAACTTCGTCGTTAGTCGCTAGACTAGTAGATATAGTCTGCGATTATGACGTTCTCAATATATGTTACAATGTTATCCGATAAGGCGAAGACTTTCACTCTACTCAAAACATATTTAGTCACCTTGACAATACTTTTGTAATGTTACACTACGAATATGTTTAAATTTTTATAAAAAAATATTTAAATAACAACATATAGATAATATAATGTTGTTACCTACTTTTAGATACGATTTTACACAAATTGTATCTCTATAAAAAAGGGCAGATAAAAAATAATTTTGATTAAAGTAAATAAATAAAGCACAACAAAAACATAAATTAATTTTATTATAATTATCATTTTAATTATTGAAAGTTAAATTGAACGATGAAAATTGTTCTTATTAAAAGGAGTTTAGGGTCATACAAAATATCATACATTGTTTTTGTGCCTATTACGCGAAATAATTCATAGAGCCGTTTATTATCAAATAAATATCGATGTTAACGAACTCTGCCAAAACACGAACCTAGTGAACCAAGTGTTATTTGTAATACATTGGACGTGTAAACTAATCTTAAACAAATAAAGTATCCATGTATGAAATAAGAGATTTGGGTTAATTATAAAAAATTAAATTACTGTGTATACATTGTTGGCAAAAGATAACCTAACAGCTTAAGTTATAAACTTTGAAGAGTATTAAGCTATAAATAAGTCATAAGATAACCTTGTAATACCATACCTATAAATCATTAGTCAACATAACAAACATATAAATTGAATGACTGTTTCGGAGACGCGTGTGAGAAGAACAATCAAACTAAATTTACTCAGCAATTATCTAGTTTAATAGTCCTGTTTATTCACGTTGGGTTTAATTTGATGAAACACACGATTTATATTCATATGTTGTCTACGATGATTATGGGATAGCCTCTATTGTTAAATACAGAACTCCCATATACAGTCACAACTGCTCTGATATAATTTCTCACTTACGTGCCTTGTGTACGTGGACCAAAATTAAAATTGAGTTTCATTATGCCATAAAATATTCTAAATACTTACTTGTAGGAGAATTACTATATCTAAGGATACTTGAAGGCTGCCACACACCCAGAACTGCGGTGGCGCGTCTCTTAATACAAAATATGCAGTCTTGAATAGGTCACCACATGTCCACATTACCACCATACTCACACTGGAACAAAAACAAAGCATAAGTGCTTCTAGAAATAATTTACCACCTAACGAAATATTCATTTTAAATGAAAAAAAAAACACTAGGTCTTCTATTAAGTTTCTGAGTTTATTTGACATCAACTCCACCATCACAGTGACCGCATTCGGCGTTGCGATTGGTGAAGTGTTAAGCGCGGGCCAATCGCTGCAATCGGGGAGGAATAAAATTGTCAGTAAGTTGCCGATATTTCGTCACTGTTGCAAGAATCGCGGATAAAGTTCATCTGTGATCATGGCGCTTGCAACAATGCAGTAAGTTATCGATACCATCAGTTGGCAGGTACAATTTTATCTATTCCCGCTCCCTCTAACTAACTGATCAAGCATTTAAAATCTTTTGTTTTCCATACAATACGTTATATATCCATGTTATTAGTTCTATTACTCGATACTATTATAGATGGGTCTGTTCTGAAAGTATGAAGTAGGTACTCGTATTTCATCAACTAACAGCATGCGGCGAAAAAAAACAATCATACCTATTGTATTTAAGGATATAGCCAAATAAATTTTCACTGTATGGAACCTTTACAAATTCCTATTGAGCGAGCGAATAGTTAGTCCGGCCCTGGACAATGTACTCAGAAACGTATGCCAAATGCCTATCTGCTACATCTACACTCAGTGGCAGGATGCGCAAACTAATCTACGTCTTCAAGAACCAGTAGCTGATGATAAGTTACGTACTGCATCACAACCTGGGGTGGTGCTCCAAGGAGCACTCTTCTAGAGCTAGAAAGAGCCCAAAGGGCAGTACTAAAGGTTTCTTTGTCCTTACCGTTCAGATATCCTACTTCTCTCTTATACTCTTATACAAAAAAGCTAAAGTTCTAACGGTAAGACAGTGGTTTATTAAACAGATAATGCTAATACAGCACAGTAAACTGGAATATGATTCTCCTGTGTCCCGTGGCAAAAGGCGATACAATCCCGTACATATAAGGAAAGTCCGGCTTAACACCGTGTATTCAAAACGCTACTTTTGCTACTTAGGACCACACTTATACAACAAAATCAATAAAATCTTGTCAACTAATGAACTGCAAAAAATAAAATGCATAGATATAGGATACATCACGATCCTACACCCTGCACACACACACACAAACACACACGCACGCACACATCCACACAACCACGCACGCAAAGACATATTCACAAATACTACATAAACGAACGCACATATGAACAAATAAAATGAAAAGATTTACATAGGAACATCGTATACTCTCGAATAGTTCGACCACAACTAATTGTCAAAAGAGCTGATACAATCCTAACAGAAATGTATACAATTAAGTGGTGTCCTGAAACAGGCTCTGAGCCTAGCTTAGGCACCAGTCTCCCACAGTATAAAGTTTAGTTAAACTTTTTGTGCAAGCTATAATTATGTAAAAATGTATTGTGGCGAGAAAATAAACAATTTACTATTATTTTTATTATTATTATAATCTGTTAGGATTAATAACACTTTTATATTTTATTAACGAAAATACCTTTTACGACAGTTGCGAGATCGAAAGTTGATCGAACTGGATTTAGACCGAACTTTTACTATGAGAATTGGCCTGGATTGGAGTAATATAAATACAATAAGTATATGAATAGACATTTATGACAAATTAAAACAATTTATCTTCAACACATGTGTGTTTGTGTAGACTTGTGTAGACCCACCTCATAACTTAAACTTAAAAAATCGACGCTTACCTCATTCCCTCTGTGCTTTTATTTTGATAGTTTTTCGCTATTTGTGGAGCACCAAGCATGGCTTCTGTGAATAGTGCCATGAATCCAATCAGTTCAACAAAAGGCGAAAATTCTATCAATAAATATGTGATGGCAGCTCCCAAAACTGAGAACACCAACATGCAGTCTACATAGCTTTGGAAGTCAGTCCAGGCCCAGAAATATTTTCGCTTCATGTCTGGAATAAAAATATTCCAATATTATTGACATTAGTAGTTGTGTAATATGAAATTAAACATTAATAATGCCATAACATTTTAGTACACATAATCATTACTGTTTTGTAATAGCATATTATTGTACAATAGCATCATTTATTAACATACAATCAAGTAGGAAATCATGCGCAAGCTACTAGCATCAACATAGAGATAAGACTTTTGACCCAGTCATGACTCCTGTACACACAAAACAACTGCTATAATTATAAGAGCATTGAACCATGTTAGTTACATATTATCTGACAAGTTACAATAACTGACAGAGTGATAAGAAAATACTATCAGCCATACTACAAAAACCTAATCTATTTATTACATAGTTCATGTCCATCTATACAAAATGATACAATCATGCAATGGAAACCCAATAAAAAGCAATATGATGAAATATAAAGTTTAATATCCCACATGATGTAACAAATACAATATAATCTCCAAATTATACTGTCAAGCATGAGGTTGCTGAAACAAAAACAATAACAGTGACTTGAATGGGGCACAACTTGCAGCAAACAATATAATTAAGTTCTAACTATAGCAAACACTCACCATAAAAGCGATGGGGCTTCTCACCACTCGAGATGCTGCTTCTCTGATGCAGCCAGCGTGCCGTTTCATCTGGCTGGGCTGAGCCATTTACACAACACAATAGTATATATAACATGAATATTGCATCTAATTTCACGCACCATCAATCACACCAACCACCAAACAGAACATAAAATAATGTTAAAATAAAATTAAATGCAAAAAAAAGGAAAAGTTAGTGGGTTAAGATATCAAACTAAATAGGAAGCAAAATCTAATAGGGATAATACAATGTCTTTAAATAAATAGGACCCTTAAAATAAATTATAATAAGCGATGAAAAAAATATTACAAAAAACACTAAACTAATTATGCTTGTGAGTGTAATTATACAGTGCTGTGTTGAATTAATGTGTAGTTTTATTATTAAGAGGAATACTAATTGTCAATTACACCAATACCAACCTGTAAATATTCTTTCCCTTGCTCTAATTATCTGGCTCTTTTTTCTAACAGTTACACATAGATGTATCATCACAAACATTGTTATATTCATAACAATGCTCTGAATTAATAATGGTAATTCATAACGCTTACCAAACCTGTAAGAAAGTATGAGAATGTCAAGTGTTTTAAACTAGCAAAACTATACAAATAAATAAAATTGAAGTGTCTATTTGTAATGTCACAATAATTTTAATTTGTAATGTCAGTTTAAATATTTTCTGTTTGTTTGTTTTTACTACCAGGTAGCCTATGTAAAGAGTAACTTAGGCTATTTTTCTCCCAGAAAAACCCTATAAAATTTTGCACGGTCCGGGAATCAAACCCATTAAGGCAACACTTTTCAAATTCCACGCCAACGAAGTCGCGGGCACAAGATAGTAAATAATACAGATGTAGATCTGTGCATAGAGAAATACATCTTCTTTTTAAATTAAAAGTTTGAATAATATAAACAAAGTGTCCGTTTGGATTGAGGAGCCACTTTTCATATCCTAATGAAATTAATATTATTATTTAGTAGTAAATTAAAAAAAAAATTGTGGCCTCAATCCTAGATTTTGTAGTAGTACTTTTAAAGTTATTTGAACATAAAGGTGGCTCCTCAATCTAAATGTTTGGATTGAGGAGCCATGTCAGAACTAAGAACATAATGGATACATCCATTTATCATAATTTAGTATGATTTTGAAGTATTTGAGAGTTAACTACTCTAGTAGATAAAAACCTGAGCTCGGTAATGTTAAAATTAAGAAAGTTACCATACATTATATATGTAGCTCCTTAGACCATATATATGATTATCATTTTTAAAGATGCAGTCTTTCAATTGATGCACATTTTCATCATTTAGTAGTAAGTATATTAAATTTGTAGTGTAGAGTAGAGTAATTAAAAATGAGTTAATTAGGAGATATGGCACATTTTAACTGCCTCCTCAATTAAGATACTTCGGTAAATAGATTTTACTCTAATATTAAGAGGACCTACTTGTGAAGAAATTTGGAATATAAACATCTATATTTTGTTTAAATTTATACTAAATGTTAATGTAATCCTATCAAAAAAAGTACAGTATCTACGAAGTTATTAGCTATTCTTTAATTTCCCAATAAAAAAAATTGTAGGGTGTCCATGAATACCTTTTATAAAAGTTAATTTTTATTCCTTTTCGTACACAAATCTATTTTATTTCATCTAATTATTTGGAGGTAACTGCAAATTAACTTGGTTAACTACCTATCCTCAATAATATTTATTTTACAAGAGTCAGTATCTCGACACTGATAAATAGTTATTGCACATAGTAAATTATTACTTTTATATTTAATTATTCTTATCAATCCAAAACACGGTAAAAATAGATGGTATAAGGATTATCCCTGCAATTAGCGACGCTGGTGGCTTATTGGACAATTAAACAATATGTCACTACCCCACATAGGATAAGATGTTTTGTTGTGACGACTATGATTCTCAATGTATAGTAAAATTCGTAAATGCACCGACCAACCAATATTAATTCATTGTGTAACTTATATCCAAATTGATTAATAAATACTTTTAACTCAAGAATTTCTGTACATTCGTATATTTTGTTAATTGTCGATTTGTTGAAAATTAAATGATTTAACATTTTAACATGGTCACCCTAAATAGCGAATTCATAAGGAATATCCAAAAGTAATTTATTTTTCAGATACAAAACATATACAATGTTGATCTGAACATATTTATTTAAAAAAAAAATAGTGCCTCTGGTTTTTGGTTCTGTTGTGATCTCAGGTCCGTACAGATAATTATTTTTTCAGAACCTCAGGATTGAGGAGCCAAATGAAATGCACTTATTTACTCCAAATCCACTCAGTACTACTACTTTCTCCTGATACTACAAATTGAAACACACTTGCTACTTAATGTTTTTTGGAGTGGAATATAAATTTTGACCTATTACTTTCATGGCAATTCACACTCTTAAATATAGATTGAGGAGCCACATTAAAAGTATTGTATATTCTAGAATATCAACAGTACTGGATTCAGATTTTTTGTAGGCACTATACACAATTACTACTAAATGATACAAAATTTTCAAAAACATTAATAATAATTAATACTTTTCCTGTTTCAGGTGGCTCCTCAATTTAGATGTTTAGATTGAGGAGCCACTTTTACCTTGATATAACTTTGAATATATCTTACTACAAATTTCAGAATATGTCCTACAAAATATTTGCTAACCTACTAAATATGGGGTGAGTTTACATTTAAAATCTAAAGTGGCTTCTTAATCCATACCAACACAACAAAACTGCTACAGCAACACAGCTTCCTTTCGATTTCTAAAGCATTTGTATTTAATTTTTAATGTTTGATCATTTAAAGCTCATAATACATACCAAAACAATATTCTCAGAGTATTTGCAATGAGTAGAGCTAAACAAACATATAAAGAAAAGCCTTCAGCATCTTGAGTACTTTTTATTTGCCTGTACTGTGGAATATATGGAGCAACACCACCTATTATCATAGCACCAGCTGCTCCCCAGCCAACCAGGTGTCCCACTGTGAGCCCTAACTCATCCGAAATTATCCAATCCATGGTTTTGTCGAAATATATTTATCTCAGGACTGGTAAAATTACTAAATTAGTACCACTTCGATGATGTACATATACACACACACTTCATAATTCAAACAATTTACATTCACGGAAAATAAAAAACTTTTTAATCAATGAATAGACAAAGCCACCTAGTACAACGCACATCGATCGACAATCGTAAATGAATAAATGATTGTGAAGTGATCAAGTGACAACAGTGAAAACTTCAAACATCAGCATTCGCCTCTATATACTAGTGGGTGAGACAGATACAACACTATATATAATATATTATGCTCCAAATATTTTATTCGTCAGATTATACAACCTGTAACGAACAAAAACTGGGTTATAGTCCATCTAATCTAACAGGTACCGTTTGACAGTTCTGACAGATTGAAGAATAAGGAGGGGTCAAAGAAATCAAATGATACACTATCCGATTCTTAAGAGATTTCAATTTCATTTCATTGTATTTACAAATCGATTACAGTTTTACAGACTGTAATCGATTTGTAATGTTAGAAAGGGTTTCATTATAGTTAAAATACAGTAATGCAATATTTAAAGAATACGTAATGGGTGTATCTAAGGTGGAGTGAAGATTTGTGCAAGATGGCTGGCAGGAGCTGGATGCGAGAAGCCCAAAATCGATCTAAGTGGCGTGCAATGGGAGAAGCCTATGTCCAGCAGTGGACTGCGATAGGCTGATGATGATGATGATGTATGCAAGGAAAAAACAGTTGAGTAACTTCAAAACAGTCAAACGTAACTATAGTAACGACAGCCATAGGTAAGTGGTAGGAAGATATGTAGTCTCTTCACACAGATTTATATATGTTGCTGTATAAGGCCGCATATTATTATATCTTAGGTTTTACTAGCAAATCTATACAAGTAATGTAGACAAATCATGATCGGTAAAAACAAATGAACATCTATAAAAATAATTTAACACACTTAAGTAAAGACAAATAAATGACACAAGGTCTAGTTTCAGGAACATCTAAGTGTCAACAATAGGCATAATAACTGAAAAAATAAGTTGAAAATACAGGTAAATGACTATCTTAAAATTAGGTGCACGGTTGCACCTAATTTTATGGTAGTCATCACATAAATTTATTAAAAAACAGAAGCAAGCAATTTTCATTTCTCTTAAAACGTGTTTTTCAGCATGAATAAATGACTGATAAGAAATTTTAAGTAAGAAATTGGATATTCATTAGATATCACATATATATATATTAAAAAACAGGTGAAAGCAATTTATCGACTTATAAACATCCTTAACATTTATTTTATAATATTCGTAATCAGAATCATTTATAGACGCCAAAAGACACATTTTTAGAGAAATAAATTTAAGGGCTATAATTAATTGCAACTGTTTTATGTTATCTATACAATTGTGTTGATATATTAAGAATAACACTAACAAGACAATTTCAACAAGACTGTACAATTACTACTAAATCTGGCGTAAAGCGAATGTCCTGTCCTAAAGCGAACAAGGACACAAAACTTATTATATTAATAGAAATGAAATAAATAAGTAATAATTCACGCAAATAGTAAATAAAATGTATTTTTAATATTTTTTTATGCTCAGTACATTTGTTTGCGAAAGAACCTGTGGCGCGTATTGTAAATACTAAAAGATGTCTGGATTGAAAATGGCAGGTTATTAATAAGTTCGATTATTCTTACATTTTAACGATTATTCATATACAAGTGAATTTGAAGAGTCATGACACTACGGTATAGGACCTAATTACGTGACTTTGAAACGAAGTCTATTTTTTTCCATTGTATTATATTGTTTTATTTAACTTTGATTAAAAGATTTACATTTAAATTTAGACAATAACAACTTCACATCTTATGATTAAATAGAAAGAGCTGCATAATTCCATCGTTTTTCGTTACCGTTACAGTTACCGTCACCGGTTAAACCATTAGGTTTAACCGGTGACGGTAACACTAGACAATGATATGTACAGTAAAAGAAAACTATTGATAAGTTAGACAGAAACAATGCGATAAATACATATACTTACATACATACGTAATATACTTACCTAGTTACATAAATACATAAACTTACATATTAATAATATCTAAAACTTTAAGGTTGTAATGAATCTGCTAGGGTGTCTAGAATGCTAGCTTGAACTTTCATCTTGAACGAGAGGCGGATAGGTGCTATCCTGACTTCTAGAGGGAGAGCGTTTCAGAGTAGGAACGAGGAGTGGACACAAGTGGAAGTATTAGTGGGGCATAGCAGAAGAAAATTGTTTAATGAACGGAGGGTTTTATCGTGGTTTGAAAACAGAAATTGGAATGAAGATGTTAGACAGGATACAGAAATGGGCGCAGCTGACGGCGCTGACGAATAGTGAGCCATTTCAATTCGCGACGAAAGGAGTATAGTCGTATCTGCGAAGGTTGAAGACGAATCGAGTGCAGTTATTCAGAAGGCGGTAATATTCATTGAGAAATCTGCATTGATGTCATAATAGCATACATCACCATAATCCAAGATGGGGACAATAAGGGTCTGTACAAACATCGCTTTCGTCTCGGAGGGAAGGAAATTCTTAAGCCGATAAAGAGCACGTAGCGTACCTGTGACTCTATGGCTGACGCTCATGACCTATGTTTGTCATCTGAGCTTGGAGTCGACAATTAGGCCTAGGTTCTTAACAGCAGGGCTAAAAGGAATGACTATGCCGTTAAAGGTAGTGGTACCAAATAAACGGTGGTTAACAAATAAAAATGTCTTTGAATAATCTTCTGAAAACATGAAGTAAAAAATGATACAGTAAAATTAAAATGTTTGAATTTAAATAATGTAAATATATATATATATATATATTTATATTATAATGATGGACAAAATTAAAAGAAAATGTTTATAAATGAAAAGGTACTTATATAAGTAGCAATTTGTTAAAATAAATATACTTCAATTTACCTATAAGCACAAGCTATATTATTAAGTTCCTACAAAATCGGATACGGATAGCGCACGTCGTCAGTTTAATAATAATGTAATACATAAACCGATTAGCCAACCGTTCGGATCTAATGGACTTATTTTTCGACGCGTCGGTCGTCGGTTAATATAGGTAATGACAAGTTTATTGCTTGTATGTAGCTTGGTTGAAAACGGTTGACAAACAATAAAAATATGGTTTAATCGATCTCATCGAATCATATTGCACACCACTTTCGTATGTTACATTAGCTAGTCAACTCATCATACGGTTCAATGATTCGCACAAATAATAAATTCGATTCTACTCGGTTTGACCATTTGATTGACTGACTGACGTTGACTGATTCGTCACATCTCGAATTATTACAAAGTAAACAGGCCTTGTCAATTACTTGTCAAAGTGACAATTAAAATTTCGTTCAAAATTGGAAGTACTCCTTGGAATTTTCAGTACTTACTTAAAATTATTACTCTATATCAACGAACATTTACCTAAGCAAAATTGAGAAAAACGTGATGCGTTAGTATTTCTCTCTCATAAGCATTCGTCTTTTAGTTATGTAACTACTTTCACCCTCCACCGTATTTGTGATCATTTTCAAATTTATAATTCGTGTCTATTACTTATAAACTACACAGAGCAATAGGGTTTTCGAATATTTACAAAATTATTTAACCGATTGATTAATTTGTAATTAAAAATCATAATATAACATTAGATACCATAACTATATATCAAGTTATTTAACAGTGGCATAAGGGGAGTCTTACTTCGGAGGTTTTCCTCTTATCTTGAAAGTCGGACTCAGGCTGTAGTTGTCAGTAACTGTATTTCTAGCTGGGTTTCTATCCCCAGCGGTATACAGCAGGGTTCCTTAATGGGTCCATTGCTTTTTACGATTTACGTGAATGACATCGACTCCTGCTTCCAAAGTTCTAATCTGCTCTGTTTTGCTATGATATGAAGATCTATTCTGTACTATCATCGGCAAACGATGTGCGCTACAATCAGACTTATCATAACTTGATCATTACTGTCAAAAAATTGAAAATAAACCCCGCTAAATGCTCAGTCGTCACGTTTGGTAGGCAACGTTCTCCTGTATTAGCTCCATACGAACTTAATTACCAGTGCCGGATTAAGCCAGCACGGGGCCTGCAGCAAATTCTATCAAAGGGTTCTTGGATAATAGTCCACTGATATACATAAACTTCTCCTTAGGAAGGAGGTTTCTGCCTTATACTTTGCTTTGTGCAAGGCATATAGGACGGTTAGCACTGAGGCTTTGCCGGTGTTGGCAGGTGTCCTTCCGGTCGATCTCGAGGTGCAGAGACGTGCAGCCATGTACTATTCAAGACAAAACATGGAATGCGATTTCTTGGGCGCGTGGGATCGCGGTAAAATTACAAGATTGCTTCAACAGCAGTCCGATGTCTATAATGACCTCATAGACGAATGGCAGCAACGCTGGGACGAATCATCCAAGGGGCGCCATCTTTACCAATTTTTTCCATCTGTTCGCGAACGGTTGTCGAGGACATGGCTTGAGGTGGATCACTGTGTCGCTCAATTTCTTACGGGTCATGGTAACTTTAAGAGCAAGTTGTATTCATTTAAATTAGTCGAGTCACCATTGTGTCAATGCTCAACACCTAACTCTCATTATGAACAATCTGCTCATCATATCCTCTGGGAATGTAGTCTTTGGTATAATGAACGTAATATAATGCTGAATAGCTTGCAGGTGATATCTGGGGCGGTATACTATGGGGATCTTGTGTCAACTAGGGTGAATTTCCGTGCGTTTAGGCGATTCTGCCATACATATTATAGAAATCAAATATAGCTCATGTAGGACCCGTAATATTTTGTGGCCGTTGTGCTTCCCTGTTTAAAAGGGTGTATGCCTATTTTACTTCCTTTTGTCCTCCGCTTTGCTAAGGAGGGAAGTGGATTTACTGTATTTCCAACTCCGCCAATTTTCTTCTGATTAATTTCGTTGCGGGTTCCAAGACAGTTTAATTTCTTCCTGGGACTTCCCGAGTGTCATAACTCGGTGTGTTCGTGGGTCACTGCTGTGGATCCTGGTGTACAGGAGTTACAGTGGTGGGCGTGTGGGTGGGATTAGTCCCATTATACTTTGCTGGCCAGACGGGTTGGTTATACCTTACACCAGTGACTAACTTACCCTATAGGGTTTGATTCAAGTTTTAAGACACAAAACCCTGTACAGTTTGTTTCAAGTTTGAGACGTCGGCACATATCGTGCGATGTTCCATAGGGCTATGGAACATAAGGTACTACTGGCCCCTTTGAGGAGACTTCCTCCCGAGCTGGGCGTAATCTGTTACGCCGACGATACTTTGGTTACATTTCGTGGGGTGAACTTCAAGAGGTGGAGCGCTTGTCCACTACTAGGGGTGTCTATTTGGTGGTCGGGAGCATTGAGTCGCTTGGATTGTGGGTGCCCATGGATAAGACGCAGGCCCTCTTATGTCGTGGGCCCCGTTGTGGTCCATAATACGGCCTGCCTACTTTTGCTCAATTTGGGTGGACCCAGTGTCGCGACAAGAATGTACGGCTGTACACGGAGTTGTCCGGTCAATAGCACTGTACGGTTTACCAGTGTGGACGGCGGCTCTGAAAACCCAGAACAGGCGTCGGCGCTTAGAGCCATACGTGGTTAGGGCGTCGACGCAAGCGGCGTACGCTTGGCCTGAAAACCCCTGTGGGGTTTGGAGGCAAAAGTGCTCGCCGAAGTATATCGGCAGATGGCTAAGTTTCGAATCTAAAATAATATTAAAAGCTGAAGAGTTTATTTGGTTGAACAGGAACTACTGATTGGAATTGAATTTTGTTACCGTTGGATGGCCTATTTATTTTAAGAGAAATGTTTTAGGCTCTATAACATCACGCCACGACCAATAGGAACCGTGCGTCAACGAAAACTGTTGCGAAAACGCGGCAAATGAATTCCTTTTGACAAGAGCAGACGAAGTTATCCTTGGTATTCTGGATACTAAGATTTAACAAATAACATGGATGGATTTTGGGCTTGTCCGTAGCTATGGGACAAGAAAATAAGATATTGAATCTATATTGGTAAGACCCACTCATACTTTAGATTCAGTGAAGATGAGAAAAACGATATTACACAATCCACTCCCTCAATTCACACACAATTATCATAGATAATACACTAATATATGTTACACAATTATTTTCTCTTTTCGTATACAAGAAGGCCGTACATGAACAATTTATTGGTTTTATTTATTGATTATTATTATTAAATATATAGCGACACGTTTCGATGCAAATCAATTGTGCTAAATCTCCAAAAATAAATATCGACTATTGAAAAATCGAACTTCACAGTAGGTATATTTAAACAAAATATGTTTCATGATAATGGGTATTTCTTTATCTTAGTGATAATGTAACTATTGTCGATATAATTTAGCTAAGTGGAAGTTTGACATTTGACATTGTCAAAAATAAATATAGGTATAGGGTTAGGGCAGTAAGGTCGTGTTAAATTTTTGTCATTTTATTTATTATTTTGAGGCCATAAATTGGAAACTATGACCATCATCTCTAGATTATGTCCAGCTTTCCGTACTAGTTGTAAAATAGAATGTTTGCCTGCGATTTTACAATCTACGAACCTTATGTATGTTCGTTGTTATTCAGCTCAGAAAGGCGGTTTAACTAAAAGTCAAGAAAAATCTGAGGTATCAGCTGATGTCCGTCCTTTAGGAGAAAAGATAAAGGAAACAACGAAGACAGTGTCATATACAGGTGTAATTGTGCTGGGTGTTGGCGTAACCGGCGTTATCTTCTACTATGTGTTCAGAGAACTGTTCTCTGGCAACAGTGCTAACAGCATTTATTCAGAAGCTTTAGAAAAATGTAAGAATGTAAGTATTTGATATAATTATATGATTGGAGTATTTTGTTATTTGTAATCTTTTATAATGGTTTAAATGCTACAGGTTAAAAATCTAAATTATAACATCGCTATAACTAACTATCCTGTTATCAATTAATATTAATCTCCTCTTAGTACTTTAAGTGCAACAATAGATATAACTTGTTAAGACATACATTTACAGTAAATTTGACTATTGAATGAATTGCTAAGTAATGGTTTTATAGAATGATTTCTTTAAATTGTTATATTTTCATAATTTTTTTACATATGAACACTTGTAATATGATTATTATACCTAAATGTTAGTTTTGAAAGTACTTTTGTACACATGCTTCTTCGGAATTCTAGGATCCGAGAGTTGAAGATGCGCTTGGTGCTCCAATCAAAGGTTATGGAGAAGAAACTACCAGAAGAAGGCGAACACATGTCAGTCATGCTGTATATGAAAAGGATGGTGTTAAACATATGAGGATGAGATTTTATATCCAAGGGGTTAGAAATAAGGGGGTTGTAGAACTAGATATGAAAAAGGTAAGCTTTTGAACATTCTACTAGTGCTTCTTTGGCTTTTATTTAAATAAGAGCCATAGCGAAGCTGATGATGGGCTTTATTGATAAAAAACCTTATTTCATCATAATTTTTGATCACTTGTGGTATCATTGAGTGACTTAGTGTCTTTCCATGAAAACTTTTTATCTAAAACCTGACTTGGACCTCCTCTTCCCCTAATCCTTGTTCTAACCTGCAACGTATAGAAAGGCAGATTTCCAATTATTAATACTACAATTTAAAGTATTCTTGTAACAATATTCAATGTTAATTTGTAGTACTCTAATGTTATAAGCCCCCACTTGCGGGTCATGCCAACCCCCAATATTGTCATATTCTACTACTACTAATAATAAAGGATTTTTTAAGTGCAACACTAACAACCCTCATTAAATAGCAATAGATAAACTTTTTAAGTACAATGAAGAAATATAAAAAATACATAAACTGTATATCTCCCATCTCTACACTCTACATTTGAAGGGAAAAAATGTTTAAAATAGGGCATGCTGAGAAAATGTAATAACTTTGTTATATTGTTTTAACACTATTTAAGAGTTCACTTCACTAATATGATTTAGGTTTATAACAAACGACTATCAATAGTAATTTAATGTTCATAAAATTATTGCAGAATGAATATGACAATTATCAATGCCGCTATTTGTTGGTTCAATTGGATGACTACAGTGGAAAAACTATTATCATTGAAGACAATCGAGCTGAACTGGACAAGAAAGGAACTGATTTTGGGCAAATGCCTACGCTTCAGTTGACTTAATAAAGAATGTAAAAATGTACATTGTAAAATATATAAGTAGCTTAATAAGAAATTAAGTAGTTATTGTTATGTTTGAATAAAAGAATGATAAAACATAAATCTTTTATTATATTGGTTGAGAATACATTTGCATATGATATATCTTTTATATAAATATGCTTTAGAACTGTAAGACTAGATGGGTTCATATTTGTCAATATCTCCTATGGCAATCTAATAAATTTCTAATACTATCATATACCTAAATTGCTTATCATCTTGTATCCTTTTACAAATTCAAATCTGATTGAGTAAACATTTCTCCCTTTGAATAGGAATAAAAAACTTCTCACCATTAGAAACTTTTTGAACATTAATTAAAATATATCACCAACTAAATTGTAGTTCTGAAGAAACTGAATGAAATATTGAATATACATAGAGAAAACTACCAAATCACACTACTAAGCATACAATTGACCACATTTGCTAGAATAGCTTAAAGAAAACATAAGAAACAAATTTTATTAAGTTTATAAGAGTTACACCAAAACTAAGAAAACAACTCATTGGACATGCTATTACTTGTACTATTAGTTGATTTGATAGAGTTTACTCATGATATACTCGTACACCATCTGTGATACAGAAGGAATTAGTTTCTAAAAATAATTTGATGAAGTTAATTACTTCATCATCAACAGCCTTTAGTAGTCTGACTAAACATATTTTTACTTAGCATCATAATAATGTATAATACTGATAATAATACAATACTGATAATGTCTATATATGACTATGATTTTACATGGTGGTAAGGGACTCTAGGATTAGCCTAGAGTCCCTTACCACTGTTTAAAATGTTGTTAAGATATTGTTATAATGCCTTATTCCATTATTGTTGATTAATGATGTTTCTTCCAAGGAATAACCTCCCATGCCATTAGCAAACGGTTGTTAAAAACAAACATTTTAATTTTATTAATTATCCAATAGAATAAAATGACTAGGGACAGATACTGTGGCCAGGCCCACTTCAATTCTTGCAACAAACTCGGTACATATATAATTTCCATTTCTGGTATTCTGAGGAATATTTGTATTTCCATAGAGCCAGTATGTCCCTGCTGAATTCTTGAATAAATTGTTTTAGTATGCGTAGTGACTGAAAGGAAAATGATGGTTAGTTGAGAAATATATTTTTTATTAAAGTTATTTAAAAAAGCTTCTTACCTTCTCTCATGAAATAATTGCCTAGTAAGAAATCTACTTTGTTGCCATTCTTATTCTTAGTAAAATTAAGGAAGGCACTGTTGTATCTAGTATCTATGAGGTTTTGTTTACATGGTAAGTGTGATGATTGATAAAATTGGAGATCACCATAATACTTGAAACCAGAAGGAGACATTACAAAGTCTTTGTTAATCACAGCTAAACTTTCCATTTGCAAAGGACACACTGTCTGAAAAAAAATAAAATAAATTATGCATTTGAACGTTCAATATAACAAATAATAGAATGATGATGTTAATACACAAAATGATAGCGCCTATTAAATAATAAAAGTAAATGGGCATTTATTGGTTGATTAGTTATGTTAACACATGTACCATGTATTTTGTTGCCTAAAATAGACACAGTTCTATACAAAATTTACTTAATTTGTAGTCTAAATAGGATTGCTGTAAAAGTAATAACTTGATGTACTTTTAATTGAAAGTCCAGCATTACAATGAACATCATAGATGTAAGTGTTCTTTGTTGTGGAATGTTCAGATATATCTTGAAATCTAAAATTTCGTATTTGCCGTCATTATTAAAATCATGTTCATTCACCTGTAAATAGAAAGATACCAAACTGTTATATCTGAACATTAAAATTATTGTTACATTATAAGAAATAATTATGCCATACACACTTGGAACTCTTTACAATTTTCTTCATTTTTCATAGTATTGCCGTACAGTCCGTTTATTTCACCGCACACTATAGGCATACTTGGATCATCAGTTTCTGCGACGAGAAGATATTCATACCTAAAGTTTACAACTGGCTGTTCATAAAAGTTATGTGACCTAAGCCAAAACCCTGCAAAAAAAAAAATGTCACAAAGCAGAAAAATATCACTTATTACATAGATATTTTATGTTTTACCTCTACTTCTGTACGCTATGACAAAAGGTAAAACTAGATTTAATCCTGTAGTGATCACCGTAAACAACATAGCTTTCGATAGGAAACAACTTTTATACTGAACTTCCACATTATAACTAAATAACCTATAGAGACCCATTCTATGTCCATTTATTAGTTTTCAGATCTCTTTACGAAACTAAACTAGAAATAATAAGTAATATTAACGAGGCTGGTATATTGTTTTAGTTGTCAATAACATTTTGATTGATTCAAAAATTTCTAAACAAATAAAACTATTAAATGTTGCTACATCAATAACTGAGCCATCAAAGAGGTGGTTTATTAACAAATATGGATGAATCTGTTGATAGAGATAAACTTATGTTTAAATGTTAGAATTTTCAGTGCCTAGTTATAAAAATAAGTTGGTAATAGTTGGTATAAGCAAAGTAGGTTTTTTTTGAAACACAAAAATACGTTTATAACTAGAGTTTAAATTTTTTTTTGTCCTGGTTACCAAATTTTAGAGGCATTTTGGCATCTCTAAAATTTGTAACCCTTACAAAAAGCGTAAAATCCTCGGATTTATGAGTTCAGAAACCGAACACATCAAGAGTTTTATTTAAATTTAGTCAATATAATAAATACTAGCTTAAATAGTCACAAAATATTTATTTATTTCCAAACAAACTTAACTAAAGAACAAAGGCGAATTCGTAGTTGAATATAATTTGAGCGTCTCAAAATGTCAAAAAAATTTAAGATCGTCAAAAGAACATTACGTTCTTTTGACGATCTTAATTTTTTATGATTTTAGTTAAACAAAAAAATACTCTGTTAACATAATTTTTTTTAAAGTTACAACTTAAAAAAAAATCATTGCATTATTCAGTCTTATTTATTTTTACTCTCTTAACACAGTTATGATTTTGAACATTGCCTTCTTAAAGTTTCACATATACATATTTCAAAAAAACAAGAAAAATTCAAACTCGGACTATAAATGAAACCCCGCCCAGATGCTATCTAAACTGGGACAAATCCGGGGAATCCCTGACGGATGTTAGCCCTATTTAGAACAAGCTTCGTAAACTAAAGAGCACATACACTTGCGTCAATACCACAGATTACTATAATGTAGCTGTCAATACCAAGAACATTAAGTAGGGGAGAGTGGCCCACAGTGTAGGATCGATCGTCTTTTTCAGTATAGCTACAAGATTTAATACTAATTCAGAAGAGTATTTATATCTTTAAAGAAAAACACATTTGCTGACAAATAACATAAAGTTACAAGGCTTTTTTCACAAAAGTTGGTAAAAGATTAATTGTGACCCAGAATTATTCACATTGGACCAGTGTTTTGTTTTATGAATATTCTAAACAGCCTTATAGAGCCATTACAACAGCGATCAATTTTAAACCTTTCATGTAGATACATTATTTTATGAAATTTGTGCAGTAACATTATGATATTAAAATTTTGGTTTTTATTATAGGAATGACTATACTTAATTTTTTGTGCAACTTTTGCAATATCTGTGAGAATTTTGCTAGTCCGTTTCCGATTATTTAAAATAAATAATGTTTTGCTATCAGTAGTAAGTAGGTACCTTCGAAAAAGTGTGTAGGTATGTTACATTCAGAACTCTTAACCGGTTACAAATACTTTTGACCAATTAAGAGAAGGAATTAAGAGAAGGACATAGAGGTTGTAGTCACTTGCTATCAGGCAGATCACCTGATAGCAAGTGACTACAGCCACCCATGGACTCAAGAGTCTCGATTTCGTTGCCGGCCTTACTCCTTAGCATTTGGAACTTGAGTAATACCTGGTACTTCTTGCAACTAAATATAAGTACCTATGTCTACAAATATTATTTTCACTGAAAATATCTGTTTTTATTGACATTTGTTTCCTATAACCGGGTCGGTCACAACGAATCATTTTGTTTTGGGGAACAATGGAATAGATAATTGACTTGCACAAAATAACCTTTTATATGCAAAGTTAAAATAATTTTGTATCAAATGATTTCAAATTGATAGGATTATTTATTGTAGGTAACTATTAAAAAAGTATTTTTGTATTAATTGGTATTTTTATATCATAATTGTAAGTCTCAAATATTTGTTTTAAGGCTTTATAACGAGCAACCCAAGGGTTTCCCTGTCACCTATGCACTGATCAAAAACGACGCAAATCTGTTACCACTCTTTTCCCCTACTTTTGTTTTCCAGTCTATATTTTGTAATTAATGTATTCATCAAGAAAGTCTTATAAATGCGATGCTTTTCACACAAAAATGACCCATGATGTCATTGATTTATTATCGATTTGTCGAACCTTCTGAATTTCTACTGTCCAACCTTTGTAAACAAATGTGGCTTTAGGAAAGTTTAAATCTAATTTTCTCTATTCTATATTAGTAACCAAATCTCTTATATAAAAAAGGTCTATGAAATTACTTGCAGTCACATCAAATTTTATCATTCCTCCTCTAAGGTGGTACATAATATAAATATATATTATTATATAAACTCATGTACATTTGCACATAACACCACAAATATTAAAATTATACAGGTGAAGAAGACTAACTCTTCCAGCGTTCTAGGAATTAAATTAGATTTTTTTTTGTATATTTTTTTTTATAGAAGAGGGGGCAAGCTTTCCAGCAGACGGGTCACCTGATGAAAAAGAAACTACAGCCGCTCATGAACGCCTGCAGCTTTGGAGTCACAAGCGCGTTGCCGGCCTTTGTGAAGGAATACGCTTTTTTTCTTGAAGGATTGGAGGTCGTATCGGTCCGGAAATACCGCAGACGATAACTTTTCCATAAATTGGTTGTGCGAGGCAAAAACTGTCTTGAAAAGCGCACAGTAGTGGAACGCCAGTTATCCAAGTGGTGGAGATGAGTTTTGCCGTGTGGAACAGATGGCGGAAAGTTGCGGCCGGTATTAGTCCGAACAATTCCTCGGAGTACTATGATGACCAGTACCAGAACAGGAACACCATGATATATAAGATAGAGAATGCAGACTGAAACTACATCGCTATCTATTTATCGCTATCGACAATTTATCGCCAGCGAAGAGCGACCCAAATTGTCGATACGGTCCAGTCGGATACGGTCCAGAGGGAGAAGCTGGTACTGGGGTGCCCCTGAATAGAAATGAGAACTTATAAAGTTGGAGGCGGTGGACTGGAGTGAAATACTGTCTCGATCTGTTCAGCACACCGAGCTTTTTGGCGCCAATTTGACCATACCCTCTGAGTGACCCCGAAACTGGACTTCGCTCGATATGTGTGTGGTTCGATGGTTGGCCCGTCGGTTATACTCGTATAATGCACGTTAATAGTATGTGCAATGTTGTGAAAAATGATGCAGATGATACTTGTCTATTATAGATAGACAAGGACCTTAATGTAATAGGAAACAGCGGATGAGGGCTGAAAGATTCCTTCGGATCTCCGGCTCCTTGTGGATACAGGAGCCAGCAGTATGTGGTGTTTCCACTAAAAACCACCCCGACGACCAGCCTAAGGCGCCCTACTCTAGGAATGATCCGGACCATGTGATTTCAGGTTCCCCCCAGATCGACGCCGTACCTAACTAGGCCCTATCCCAGGGGAAGCCAAAGGCTTCCCCGTGCCTATTAGTCTATCACTAAATGTTGCGGCCCGATCACATTTTTGGTGCAATCAGGCCGCCATTCTATCCCCGACGCAGTTAAACTGTCACCAGAGGTCCACACTCTCTGGCGGCTCGCGGTCCCGGTATGAGCCGCGGACGTCTTCGATCGGGATCGGCCCTCTCCCGATCTCTTTCTTGAGCATTACAGCTTCACAGAAAGAGACCACTGCGTCCCAGCCCTCCTCACCCGCCAGCATGGCAGTAATGATTTCTGGTTAGGTTATTGATTCTCTTGGAAGACACTAACGACTTAATGTCTGTAACTGTAACTAAGGGCAGTCCTAGTAAAATTCCACCGCCTTAGCAACATTCTGGATAGGGCGATTATCTACTATGCGTTAGTTGATTCAATACTTTCTTACTGCCGAACATTTAAAACTTACTTAGATAAAACCACTACAAATAAGGTTTATGAAACTGTTAGTGGACAAAACACCAAAGAACATTGTAAAAACACCAACTATGAACGGCTTTTCATGGAGTTTAAAATGCTACCAGTTAATGAGAAGGTATTGTTATTGATAGCAACGGAACAGTACGGTAGCGATGATTTCAAGCTATATAAAATACGTCCGTGACGAAACAATAGTCATATGTTATTTTTCTTTATTTTTTAAACAATAGTAATATGTTACATGTACGCATATGTTATACTGATTATGGTGAAGGATATCGTAACTATTTGGTCCCTAAACTGTTTAATAACTTACCGCCAGCTCTTTTGAATGGTACCGATACAAAGCGAATATTTAAAAAGAAAATTTATGAGTTTCTGTTAGAAAGCCTTAGTGTATGTGCATATGTTACTTACATATCTGTGTAACGTGTGTGCGAGTCTAATTTCCTTGGGAAGATAAAAGACAAATATGTAATCAAAAATGCTTGTACATGATTAGCCATATAATGTATATTACTCGTATGTGTTTGTTGTGTTGTATATTAAAAGGGAGTAACATCTGCCATCAAACTGTCATGTTTTTTTTTTCATTTACATTCATGTCGATAAGGCAGTTAGGAAGGTGCTCTTAAACCGATGCGATACGACAAATGGTATCTTTTTTTGCGGTGAACGCGCAAACCTATGTCTTTTTGGCGTTAAAATGGACTAGATTCAGTCAACCCCAATCTGACACCTCCGCTAAGGAAGTTTCAATTTCAGGCACAAGTTTGTTACGACTCTCGATGACGTTTTCCCGAGAAATATTGGGGCGTCCGGTAAAAAGGCATCTTCCGTGCTATCATCTGCATAGCCATGGATGCTACTATTTTGCAACAAACGATATGCAGAAGAAACAGTGTAGGTGATAGCAGCAGATTTCATGTCGGAAAATGCACCGTCGATAACGACTTTAATGCTTCTGTCTGCAAGGAAACTGTTGACCCAGTTACATAATTTCTCGGAAAACCCATACCAAGGGAGCTTAATACTTACTTATGGTCATTAACTCTTTTATAAACCGTTTATAATTATTATAAAAGATGTAAGTCATCTTTTAGGTGTCTTCCGGCTACTTTTCTCAGAGTTTAGATGTGTGGGATTGTTTCACGCTTTACGTTCCCGTCCTTATTTAAGAACCCTGATTTTTTGATGTTATCCTATCTGAATATTGTAATATCAATTTTTATATAATGGTAAAATTTTAAACAAAAAACAGTAAAGGAGATCACTTGGTAGTAGTGTCCGTTACAATGTATTATATGTAACAATAGAGACACAGAGTCAAGTTTGTGGTTTCGTACATTCGCAAACTAAAGTGGACGGGTTTTTATTTGTAGTCTCATGTTTTGAATGAGTTACAAATGCCTATTGTTTGATGTATGTTAGCGTTTCTTATATGAAGATTGGTTATCATCGATATTGTATCATCGACTACTATCGTTAGTTTAGGTTAGGTTAGTTACCCATATCCAAGCCAAGATTTTAAAATTTCATTCAATCAAAAATTTGTTTCTTTACCGCTTTTCTTAAATTTGATTATTTACATTGAACAGCAGATTTTTATGTGTGATTACAATTAGATATTTTTATTAGTACCTAGACAATGTTAGGTTATTGGTGTGTGTAATCTCGATACTCTTAGGTAAGGTAAGTTGGTTTTCTGATTCTTCTTCAATAAATCCGTTAGCGTCTATAACTACGAGTAATCCGTTAAATAATCCGTAATGTGGTAAATTGTACTATATTACATAATATCAGTATCAACTACAAAGATTTAGTATAACTGTGATGTACAGTTAGTTTATATATATTTTTATTAACTAAAAAATATATTTTCTACGCGATTGTACAATTAAAATGAGTGTTTTAGTAACTAGTTCTATTTAAGAGAGTTCTACTACTTGTTTTAACCCCGAGTCAGTGAACACGAACAATAAGCCTCACAAAAGCTAGTAACTTTGGCGCCTGCAGTGACAACTGACACCTAAGGGCGGTGAACGATTCTTTGTACTTCGTGGCACTATATAATGATCTCAAATCAACTCAACGATCATTCGCTCGGGTCTCATCCCGGAGCACAGTGAGCTCCTGCGCCGGGACTTAAAGTACTCAGTTGCACCAACAGCAACTACGCAAGGATGTCTATGGTGAGAAGATCTAGCATGGACAGGATGTCTTCGAGCATGACGTCCAGCATGACTGGTATGGGGTTGGGTGGTATTACTGGTTTGACATCGGGAATAGGCTCGCTAAGTTGCACAAGGGAGCAGCAGATGACAGTTGGTGGTATGCCGTCTAATTATGTGCCAGGACTGTCAGCTTACTACAATATCTCCAGTTTCTGCCAGCGCCCTGGACAAACACGTCGCTTGCCAATGCAGCGTGCAGGACCTACTGCTCAGCACCGTCCAGGCCGCTCTCACAGCACGGGCTCGTTACACCGCATGAAACATTCTACGAGGAACAGCCCGAATACGCAATATACCCACAACCTGATTTGTAAAATGGCTGACCAGAATGAACGCCGACGCCGACAGGATACCATGGAGATGATACCTCAAAGTTATTACTCTCAGCAGCCGCTTAAAGTAGAACTGACTGAATTTTACTCTCGTGATAACTCTAAAGACCATCATACCGAACAATATGATTTAGTAAATGATAATATCCTGCCTAACCCTGTTCTTAGACGTGGACAGAACTTCTTCTTTGCTGTACGATTTGACAGGACATACGATAAGCAACAAGATATGATTCGTCTCGTATTCTGTTTTGGTAAGTTACGCAATTAGATCTCAGTGAATTTTCTTAAACGGATTAATATATGCATTTATGATTCATGATATTGAATGATTTTATACAGGACCCAAACCCAGCGTCACTAAAGGAACTCGTGTTGTATTACCCGTAAACTGGAATAATCAGCAAGGTGTCTGCCAACATTCCCGTGATATGATGGGAATGAGCATGGGATTAGGGATGTCTCGTATGCAGGACAGTGCTACTGGCATGGCTACCATGGGTTCAATGGGTACAATGGGCACTATAGGTCCTATGGGTACAATGGGAACCATGGGAACAATGAGTTCCATGGGTCCTATGACTGCGATGCGAGAGACTACAACATACGGCGTCCGTCGCAGTTCCTTCAGCAATGAGCCGTTACCTTTGCAACACAGTCCTCTTAGTCCACATGGACCTATGGAACGGCCCATGATGGACCGGTATGTTGGCACAACTCAACATACTTCAGTCGGGCGAGGTTACGGTTCACGTCATGGATCTATGCAAAACTTGGCAACCTTGTCCCACGAAATGGATAGATGGGATATCAGTATTCAGCGCCAAGATGGGAATACCATCACGTTTCAAGTCCATGTTCCGGCTACTGCTCCCGTTGGTGTATGGAACTGTTGGGTTCAAACCAATCGCTGTGGACAACGCGATAACCGCCACGACTATAAATGCGATGAAGACATTTACATGTTGTTCAATCCTTGGTGTCGCGAAGATCCCGTGTACATGGATAACGAATCGTCTAGGAAAGAATACGTTCTTAACGAGCAAGGGAAAATTTGGTGTGGAACTTGGCGTCAACCCAAAGGTCGAAAATGGATTTACGGGCAATTTGACGATGTGGTTTTGCCAGCTTGTATGTACTTGTTGGAGCGTAGCGGCCTCGAGCATTCAGAACGCGGTAATCCAATTCGTGTTTGTAGAGCTATTTCCTCTATGGTGAGTTAATATATTAAACACAAGATTTGAATTTTATTGCATTGATCTTTCTTACAATTTTGTTTGCTATGATTTAGATTAATGCAAACCACGACGATGATGGCCTGATGGTTGGTCGTTACGATGGCGAATATAAAGACGGTGTAGCACCTCATGCTTGGACCGGTTCTGTTGCTATTATGGAACGTTACCTTACCAATGGTGGCAGACCTGTGGAATATGGACAATGTTGGGTATATTCGGGACTTGTAGTCACAATTTGCAGAGCCCTTGGTATGCTTTTTATGGAACTGCTATTAATGAAATTATTGTAAAATAATATGTGCCCTATCTGACATTGAAAAACTTTTAGGTATACCTTGCCGTTCGGTTACCAATTATGTATCGGCACACGATACAAATCGCACCTTTACTGTTGATAAATATTTCGATCGTGACGGCAATGAAGTGCCCAATGGACCTGATGAAGATTGTTATGATTCTTGCTGGAACTTCCACGTATGGAACGACGTATGGATGCAGCGCCCGGATTTGCCTCAAGGTAAGGGTATAATACAAATTATACAAATTCCTGTAGCTAGTAAGTGATGAATCCGATACTAATATTGACATGTTTATTTTAGGATATAGTGGGTGGCAGATTATTGACTCTACACCTCAAGAGGAAGCGGAAGCTGTTTACCATTGTGGGCCAGCTAGCGTTGAAGCTGTTCGTCGAGGCGAAGTTGGCTTCCAGTATGATACTCCTTTTATGTACTGTCAGCTTAACGCTGAACTTTGCCACTTCCAAGAAGAGGAAAACTCTGAATGGGGCTTCATAAGGATGGCATCGAATCAGCATCAGTGAGTATAGTAATAAGACTAATTAAGCATTACAACGACAAACGGTATTTTGTATTTATTATGTTTACAGAGTTGGCCGAAAAATTCTAACCAAAAACCCCAACCGCGACGATGACGAAGGTGACAGTGATATGCTGGAAATAACTCATGAATACAAGACCGTAGACAGCTCGTCACCTGAACGCCTCGCTGTTATTGCTTCTTGCCGTGGCTACCAACGTCTCCAACAATATTATGAGTACCCTGATCGTAACTTTGAAGATGTCTGCTTCGATCTAATGGATATCGACCTTGTCCCATACGGTCAACCGTTTGATTGTACTATGAATATTCAGGTAAATTTAGTTGGTCATTGCAAAAACTTACATTTCTTGTTCTTCTGCCTACTATCAGATCAATTTGTAATGTGTTTCTTATAATTCAACAGAACAAATCTCATGAAGATCGTACCATCTGGTGTGTTCTCACGGCTTCATCCTGCTATTACACTGGCGCCATTGCTTCGCGTCTTCGTAGAGCCCAGGGCGAGTTCGTTGTGCGCGCTGGACAGCGTGAAGTCCTCAAATTGCATGTCACTCCTCAAGAATATATGGACAAGCTGGTTGACCATTCAATGGTTAAGGTGCACGCTATGGCCTACGTGAAGCAGACACGTCAAGGTTGGTCGGACGAGGACGACTTCCCATTACATAAGCCAAGGATGCAAGTGCAGGTTGTTGCACCTTTCGATATATATTCATAACTCAACCATTTTTCTTAAACATAAATCTAACTTATATCGTTCTGTTTAGGTGAGGAGCCAACCGTGCATTGGACAAGAGTGCGCCGTAACATTTAGCTTCCAGAATCCACTGACCGTACATCTGACTGACTGTTACTTTACTTTTGAAGGACCTGGAGTTCAGAGGCCAAGACAGGTACGATATTGTACTTAATTTTATGCAATCAATAAGAAGTGACATACATTTACCTACTTGAATTTTCGTACTTGTTTCAGATAAGATTCCGTGACGTAAAACCCGGTGAATTTGTGAACTACCAGGACAAGTTTGTACCGCGACGACATGGGGAGCGACGTATTGTTGTGACGTTCTCTTCAAGGCAGCTTGACGAGATCTTCGGCTGCACCACAGTCAATGTGCGCGGCTAGCTAGGTCCCGGGCCCCGCGCGCCCTCTCCGCGCGCCTCGCCGGGCCCGTTACCCCCTCCCGCGCAGCAGATGGATCGATCATATGCATCGCGCGTTGCGCCTGAACAACATATTTACGTTCAAGAAGAGGAGGTAGTCATCATAAAGACAACCTCTTAAATACCGAATGTGCACAAGTTACTCTTATGACAAAACTATTACTCGTGAGTTCTCATGAAGAATGTACGATTACATTTATGTGTTCTCCTTAAAACGTGACTATACTCGTAATTATGACATGGCGATTCTCAACGGATTTCATTGAATTTATATGTTAATGATGTATAACGTTTGTTTCACAAGCACGTTGAAAATAGAAAAAAAAGCAAAAAAAAAAAACAATACTTATTCACAATCTTCACTGTGTGGTAATATATTATTAACTTAAATAGATTTGTTACTTTTAAGGAAACCGATGCTTCACGTGCCATTGTTCTGATAAATTGAATTGCTCTTTACAATGGGAGTTTAGTAATAAGCAATTATAACTTTAACTTTTTACATGTAACCTATTGAATATTGTTATTAGTTTCTAAGCTTAACTGCTATAATCGTTTTAATAAAATATATTAATTACTTACCTACGCCACATATATTTCCATGTAATAATTTGCACTGTGTTTGTGTTCTTGGGATCTCAAAAATAAAAGCATTCACTGCATTTCTGTTTCTTACTTCGCTGTGTCGAAACATAACATGGCATCAACACATAAACTTTTGATTTGAAAAGCTGATACAATATGCAAGTATTTTAAATCTCATATTGCCTTACTGCCTCAAGAGCCACCATTTTCATGCTTTGCTGGTAAGAGGCAGGAGTTAGCCAGAAGGTAGTCTATGACAGTTTTCGCTCAAACCATGCTACTTTAGGGCATTCGATTTTTTTAAAGACTTTCCTACAGCCCTCAAACAGATACTGTTCCAATATATTGTACGTCTCGGTAACTGACCAAATTCTGTGCCAAATTGTGTTCGAATCGACTATTTACTTCGTACAAATATACTTGCTCCGATTTTATTGTAGCTGTAGTAGAGTTTCTTAGAAATAGGTTGTTTGTGATCGTTATTAGATTAAAATAAAAATATAAAAAGTAAGTTATGTAATAAGTTTCGCCTATGCAGCGAAGGTTATGTCATACAACTAATATGTTTTGTTATAAATTAGGTTTAATTAGGTTTAATTTAATTAAATTCCAAAGTAGTTTAAAAAAATGCTAACACCAAATAACAAGGCGTTTTTTATGAAAATTACAGAGAAGTGAAAATAATTCCACACCTTAATAATGGTATTTTACAACACGTACGCAATAAACATGATTCATACACAAGTTTTTATAAAAATACAGTAGCTTTTATCTGTCCATAGTACTTGTTTTAAGTGGCTCTGCTAGGGAGTAGGTACCTATGCTACGCAGCAGAGCCACAATCGATGCTCATTATTTTGTTACCTAGTGTACGTAAAGCAATAACAGCATAAGTACATTATGTACGTTTGACGTATATCATTTTAAGATATAACTGATCGGTATTTATTAGAGCACAAGACAACACTCGCAAGCTTGTAGACGTTTGCGAAGCGATTTGTACATATCGATTTAAGCACAGTTTATCAGTAAATAAATTCTTTTGTACAAAGAATATCGACAACATTTTGACAACGACGCATTTAAGAGCCACGACCCAGATAAATATCCTAAGGACCTAATATTATTAATATTGTGGTTAAAATGTGGGGGGCGGCGGGGTTTCGATATACGCCGGCCCCTAACCTGTTGAAACTATTGCATTCTCCGACCCATTCTTATAAACATTTGAACATATTGCTACCATTGCCTTCCCTTCTTATCTACCTACCTTTATTTTCAATTCGTTAATACTTGTAACTTCTTTTTCTTCTTTCGCGTTGTTCATATACCTAATTGATAAGTTTTTAAAGCGCATCCGATTCGTTTTATAACAAATTTCATAATTGCTCGTAGGTATCATATGTAAAAAGTGATGAAATAAATATACTAGTTTGTTAGTGATGCATTAATTACAAGCAGTTGCAAAATGGGCATGGGACTATCCCAGACTCTTAAGAATCAAACTAACGTAATCGTGATGTAATATGCTAAAGAATTTACGGTTTTTTCGTTGATGAATCCGCAAGCAAACCATGAATGTTTGCCCAGCTTTTAATACGTTTTCCGATTCAATGTTTTTAAGTAATACCCGAGTCCTTTGTTGAATAGTTTGCCACCGTGCCTAACTCAAATTTTATAGATTTTCTCCACTCTATTGTTTCTATCTTGCACAATATGATAAACAGTCGGAAAGAGATCTACAGAGGCCTTTTCGATACCTAGCTCGTTTTTTTTTGTGGTATAGAGCAACCTCGCCTGTTCTCGCTAGACAGTGAGTGATACCATATGGGTCGGAATTTAGATAGGTTCGTGTGTAATTTAAACTCATTTTGAACGGTGTCAACATAATACCGCTCCTCACTCGAGGTGCTAAAAAATTGGCGACTGTATTAAGATACTTGTATTAAGAAATATTTGCTTTTTTTTAGGGTTCCGTACCTCAAAAGGTAAAAAAGGAACCCTTATGAGATCAATTTCTTGTGCGTCTGTCCGTCTGTCTGTCTGTCCGTCTGTCCGTGTGTCACCACTGATTTTCTCAGGAACGGGTAGACCTAGCAAGTTGAAATTTATACCAGATATTGAGGTCTATGATCCCTATTAGGTGTATAGAAATCAAAGTCCTGAGTCATCACGATAAAAAAACGCGAAAACTTGTAAGTACCAAAATTTACCTTAATTTTTAACTTTATTTATTTTTCAGAATTTTCTCTTTACTTGTGCTGTAAGACCTTGCTTTTAACCAAAATTGACAATTCTAGGTCAACCGGGTACTTTTCTATAGGTTTTGGGTCAAAAACTTATATGGTAGGTCCCGGTGACCTAGAATCCAGAAATTTAGCAAAAAGAGACGTCTTACAGCACAAATAAAGGAATAATGCCAAAAAATAAAAAAAATTGAAAATTAAGATAAATTTTGGTACTTACAAATTTTCGCGAAAATCTACGTAAAATCTGGGTAGGTACGGAATCGAGTTCGACTCGTACCTGACCGGTTTTTATGTTATAAGGGGGCCAACGGGCAGACGGATCAACTGATGGTAATTGACTACACGTCACGAGTGTGTTTCCAGGCCTTGAGCCCCGCCCCCATGTAGGGAAAGTGTGGGCTCCGGGCACTACGTGAAAACGAAAAAATTGCTGCTTAATGAGGCCGTGGTATCACTCCCACTGGTGTTTGAGCTGGCCCATTTATGCCGAAGCAAGGCTCTCACAATATTAGTATGGCTTTCCCACGATAAAAATTTAAAAACATCAATGGCACTTTCTTAAAATGATCCAGTTATAAACGATAGCAGCTACTTGCGTTTGTAAATCATGATTAACCATATATTGTCGATAAGAGTTGAAGTTTGTGGCCAGGCCTTTTGTTATGAATACTTCCCACGGCAATTTAAAAGAAAAGTCTCCATTGAATATAAACTAGTTACATATATTGTTGGGTCTGATTATTGAAGGGACAGACAATAATCCCTGGTTCTCTTCCTGAACACGCTCAGAGAAGGGCTATTGCGTATTGCATGCGGTAAGGCATTCCATAGCCGAACAGCTGCAGTACTAAAAGAATTGTCATAACGACTCGAAGTGTTCGAAGGAGAAGAGAAGAAGAAGAACGACAAGGATTGTTCCTGGGAACAAAGTACTCGAAGCGGTTATGGAGATTTCCGAAACATGATCGACTTTTTTCAGGTCAAATATGAATTGGAAACAGAGATTTTGTAGTTGCTTCATTAATTACGGAAAATGATCATTACTTCGAGATAAAGGGTTTAATTAAAAGGCCTTACAACAGAGTACGAGTAATTTGCAAAAAAATAACTGTCTCTAACAAATTGATGGTGAAGTCACGAAATTGTAATGTATCTGATATTAAAGATTTACGAGATCTCACAAACACTTGCCCCTTTTCTATTTCTTGCAATGAGCTGCAATAGAACGTGCCTTGGCTAACAGTGTTCACAATAAATAGTGTTATAACCTGAAAATTGTTTTGGTTAATGCACCTTCATAACTATAAACTACTAACGTGATGTAATCAAGATTGTAAACAGTGATAACATAAACCACAAGTTTAGTTGTTCGTTTTAAAACATTATGCTAGTAGCTGTTACTAAGGACCGTTTTAACAATTTTCAAAATGTGTATGTTATTCTCAACATCAATAAACTCAAGTATTCTCCAATAAGAACTCTTTCTCTCCACTCTTTCTCAATAATGGAAAAAAGAACACGTAGTAATAGGAACAAGACCGGTAATATAGAGGAAAATGTAAAAGTGACGTTTATTTCTAAACAATTAACACGAAATAACGTTATCATGTTGCTATTTACACCACACGTAGGTGTATCTGTATAACTTTGTAGTATATTTTCGAAATTTTGCTCAGCAGTAGCAGGCTACTACTAATGTATAATACATTGTAGGTATATATAGTCTTATCTTCATGCATGATTCATAATTTGTTAAGCTACTCGTAAAACGGTCCAATGAAGTTTGATTTACAATATCTCTTAGCAAATCTGTTTACATGCCCTATCTACATAATTATAATGATTAGATGTTATATTTTAAACATATATTACGTAGGTATTTAGGCAATTTTACTGATTTATACTAATATTTTATGAGGGAAAGTTGTGAGTTTGTATGTTCAGGGTTATCTCTGGTTGGAATTAAAAAAATCTATTAGTGTTGTTGGATAGCCCTTTTTTTTCGAGGAAGGATATAGACTATGTAACATCATGCTACGAACAATAGGAGCCGAGTATCAATGAAAAAAGTTGTGCAAACGGGGATAATTTATTCTTTTTGAGCGAAGCAGGCGAAATTGCGCGGGTCAGTTATCTTCTATCTACACAAATAAATAAAATTTGAGTGTCTGTTTATAATATTAAAATAACCGCTTTTTACTAAATGCATATGTATGTTTACACGGTACATATGCAAAAATAACATTTTTTTCAATTTTTGTCTGTCTGTCTGTCTGTCTGTTTGTTCCGGGTAATCTCTGGAACGGCTGGACCGATTTCGACGGGACTTTCACTGGCAGATAGCTGATGACATAAGGAGTAACTTAGGCTACTTTTTTTAGACTAGCTTCGCCCCGCGGCGTTGCCCGCGGACGGCCCGCGGTTATAACAACAAACTGAGACCCGCGGTTGTAACATCGCGGGTCTCAGCTAGTTTACAATAAAAATAAGTGGTACTTATGTATCCGATGTCGGTGGTCTACTATTTTTTTATATTTATAATTTATAAAATATATATTTTTATTAAGTAATACATGTTTTAAATGTGATTAATATTAATTGAAATAAATAAAGAGAGTAAAAATAATAATTTGTATCTCCTTTCAATATTTATTCTTATATTACAGTATTTGATATTTTTGCGGCGAGAGATTTATAATTGAGTTAAGTTTTGTTTACATCTAGTAAATACAGTATAACTATGTTAACACAACATGTACCTACCTAATATCTAAAAATAAAAATAAAATTAGGTTGAAATGACTTAGTATATGTTTAGTCATATCAAAAAAAAACCCAAGCCCTTCGTTTTAATAGGTCAAAGTCTGGATTGTATTGCATTTACGTCACTTAAAATATATTTAACCGCAAAAGTCTAGTAAATACCTAGTACCTAGTAACCGTAGAGTGACGAACAATACTGATGATTGTGTGAACCATTCATAAAATATTGACAGCTCGAGTCTGTTAATAGACCTACGTCTTGTCGAGGTACAGGGTCGCAAGATTTTACATGTGTTGTCAGGTGTACCATCTTGCAACATTCATAATATTGTATATTGTGTTTTTTATAATCACTAAGAACTTTTTGTTTTTATTTCAGTTCTGAAATTTTACTTTAAAGAAAAATTAACATTCACATTATCGAATAAGTCGACAGTGACCACGACTGGTAAAATTCCCTCGAAAAACAAAAATTGTAGTGCTGTTTACTCCAAATCCAAATAGTCTTTGTGTACTTTAAGTCACTACCACCTTAACACAGTCAGTGCTCAAATAAGTTCTATTGAATATAGTTTTTAATACCAAGTCTAATCTTGATGCTTGGTCTTACAGATAGTAGTCGGCGAACATAGTAAGCTAACCATGAGAGGAAACATAAAGCGAACTTTTGGTTTGAGGATTGAGTTGAGTCATTTTAAAACAGTATTACAACATCCTTCATACAAACATGCGCTTTTAAATGTTATTTGCGCACACAAACATTTCATTTTGTATGGGTTCCGGTTACCTCATTTACTCGATGATTTTTTTTTTATTTCTGAAGAATTTTAGGAGGAACTTACAGTTTTATTTTCTTAAAATCTTTTCTCAACGCGTTATGAACGTATCAAAAAATAATAATTGGTGTAGCGGTTTTCGTGTGTTGGGCTTTTAGTCTTTCATTTTATTTACAGATTTAAATCTCCACCTTGTTAGGCTAACTAATCTCCAGTCTCAGTTAGTCCAACAACTTTATTTTTCACTTTTCAACTTTTGCTAACTTTTAATATTTTTTTTACCATAGCTAATAATTACCTATTCTTATTAGCTACTACTGTAAACAGTGTAGGAGTTCCCTCGATGGATCAACTCTAGTCCCGGTCAACTAGCATTTAGTAGGTAAACAATAATTCATCCCCTATTTTAGACTCTAGAACTTACTCATTGCGTTCATTTACGATTCACGAAGTATATTAAAAAAAACTCAAATAAAATGTTACACATTACGTTACATACAAAAAAATAGGTACGGGTTTATTTGCGTTTATCAGTCAGTTTTGGGTAAGTTCGGTTCATGTAGGTACGTACAAGTAACACGGAGAGGCGATGAGATTGTCATAATTATTATTTACTTACGTAATCATAGTACTGAATAAAGAAATATACTTGTTGACTTCAGTACGTCCTCCGTTTTCTGGGCAGTGAAAGCATCACTTTTATCACATAATTAAGCAAAGAAGGCTCCAATAAGCTGAATATATGCGTAGATTACCGAAAAAGTTACTGCCTGTAGTGGCAACGGGCTAAACTAAGCGTAAAATATTGAGAGGATCTATTTAAAAAGCTTTTGTCTTTTTAAACTAAGTAACAAAAAAAAGCTTTTATGTCTTGGAGGAGTTTCGAATCTTTTACTAGATTCATGGAAACAGACATTTCCTTAAGCGGCGGGATTTAATTTACTGCTTGAAGCATTGAAAATCATTGTGTTGTTATTGTAATTTATTGTTAATGCCAATTAACACGTATACCCTATATTTTCTACTAACATATTGAAACACGTACACACGTACACGTACTAACAAATGTACTTTCCCTATTTGACAGAGTACAATGAATTACAGGAAAACATGTTTCACGGATCCCACTAACATGATTAATTTGGGTTAGTTGATTGTGATTCATGAGGATGAATTACTTACATCAATGACGGGCCATCGAATACCCTACATTCCAAGTAAGCCTGTGGTTTTGAGTAACTACTGATAAGAGGTCACGCAAGCATAGTTAATATGCTCATCGGAGACGAAGCTCAGACAATCAGATCTGGCGTTAACGCGCGCACGCATCAGACTCTTAAAAAAATACATCGTAATAATTTTGTAGTAGTTAAAAAGTGCCCGTGTACTAGGACAAAAACAGTGTTTAGTAAATATTTAAATTCTGTTTACACTGTAGCATCTGAGCGACCATATGTATAAATAGTACAAAGCCAACCGGTTTTCACCAACTCTGTATAGTATCTGTGTAGTGACTTTATCGAGTTTTTTTTAGTATTTAATCAATAACAAAGTGAATTTAAGATTTTATGTGGCTGTTTATGAGTGACTGTTAATGCTATAATGGGTGCTGTGAAAAGTAAACTTGCTGATTGTTGCCCTTCTGAGTGCATCTGTTGTGGACTTCTGAAGTCAGATTCAAACGACCACAAGGAGCTTCCTCGACCACCTTCAAGCAATAACAATGCTGGTAGGTCAAGGACTTTGTAAATATCGGTTTGAAAAGTGCTTATATGATGTCATGAGTCAATACATCGAGGTGATATCTTTTTGTTTACATTCTAAGATAAAGATCCCTACATAACGGATACTTTATTATGCAAATCTTTTTACATGTTATGTCATGTTTTAGAATAGATAACCTCACGATGTGCATAATTTTATTAATATTTTGCATATAATTTGTTGTGAAATGAGTTTTAAAACCAATTGTTGAATAGGTAATTAAATTTACGTGGGACGTTCTAGAACTAACTTTGCCCATTTTATTATTGAATCGATAGCTTTCTGGTATTATACATGCATATAAATCTATTTTACCCTTTTCCCAATGCGCCCCCGAATACTTCCTTCACAGCCTGTCCGAATGCGCTAGATCATCTTTCGGGGATAAAAACTTTTTTCTTCCTTCTTTGACTTTGGGATTGTTTTGTATTTTAGGGTAATGTCTTTTTGTACATTTTATCATAAATATTATATTTTTAAATTAAATAATAGTATGCCAGTATTCCATACATACAAAACTCTTTTTCGTAAAACTTTTTAAATGGCCTGGTAATGAGTGAATTTTCAGAGAATATGATGTTAACTCCGTAACCTTGGTATATTATGTATGATACGTAACCAAAAATATTTTTTGAGACACAATGCGGATAAAAATTAGATAATTTTTTTATATTTTAAGAAACAAAAGGTAGTAGTAGTACCTACTTATGGTAAAAAATTAAACCTGAGTCACAGGATGCAAATTTGTATGCAATAAGTAAGGCAATAAGCGATCAACATTGTAAGGAAAATCGGAAGGTTCATCATATAAAGTATGTAAATAAATAACTTTTGTGGTAATTTTGTGGATAATCGGTATAATTGGCTTGATAATTCCTAAACGTATTAGGAATTATTAAGCCAATTACGAGTATACCGATTATTTATTTAGATTTGTTTTTTATAGATTCCCATCATACCGTTTATTTTATTCTTAACTACTTATCGATAGTTATTAATAATATTTAATAACGATTGTTATAATAGTTCTCAAGGGAGTAGTGGTATCATGTCTATTGGCAACGCGTTGTTTTCCTTTTTCATTTGTACCTAATACTAACTTTGTCAAGGACTGTATTTTCTATGAGAGTAGCATACAACTCAAATATTTTTTATTTTGCATTTATTACTAAATATCGACCAGTTTAAATATTTCATTCCATTCATAGAAAATAATTTGTAGATATCGTCTTTAATATTTAAGCTTTTTACGTCGAGTGACCACGGTGACCCTTTTTTTTTTTTTATTTCTGTGCGGAAATGCCCTTGGATACCACCCACCGGTGTCTATGTCGGGTCTCGGGTACCAGTAGCCAGGGAACTAGGTGTACACTGGAAAGGAAATTCCTGGTACCCCGACGTACCTCAGGCCATCTACAGTGGGTAGATGACCCCCTCTTGTGTGGGAACCTCCATGTTCCCTTTGTGTTCCCGAAAGGCAGTGCGTCTCGCCGCCACCCCGGCCTGCTTCTGCTTGGTTGACAGATGGCCTCATCTGTCACCCCCAGGAATGCACTTATGTCGTTCTGCGACCTCCGGTGCCTGAATCGTCTGAGGTGCCTGGGCCGTGCCCAGGCCTGGCGGGCCGGGAGAGGTCCGCAATCTGCTTCGCAAGCAAAACTTTCTTGAAGATGGAGACGGCGGAGTTCCACGCACTCTCATACGCACCACGGCAGCAATCATGTTACCGAGAGAGAGAGAACTTCCACCCCGATGGCCACCACGAGGCCACGCCTCTGCTCCACCCACGCATTCTGCAAGTTTGTGGAGCGCCGTGTCCACAGTCCGGCCATCGCAGGGGTGGCACTCAGGCGTTGGCCCCTTGCGGATCAGAAACAGGTGATCCACGAAGCAGTGATCACCGGCGTCAGCTGGTATGAGAGGGTCCCGCGATGCCAATCCTCCATAATGGGTATTCCGTAAATCCTAAATAATAACGCCGTGCCCGACCTAGATGATAGTAGAATGACCCTATATTAACGATTTAAATTGTGCATTGTTAGTTGTTAGTCAGTTAGTGTCATAGTTTTGTTAAGTAGATACAGCATGGCTAGTACTATATTGTTAAATCATCATTACCTTGTTCGCTATATCTGTATTTCTAAGTAGATAGTGAGCATTCAAAGAACTAGAAGGTTGTATATCTTTTAAAATGAAGTTTGTGTTATAATAAGTATTTCTTTTAAAACATACAGTGAAGACGCTCATTTAGAAGACATCCGACACACGAGGACGTCACCTCCTAGCGGTAGGCATTCGTGGCAAGTGGAGGGAAAAACCCGGCCACCTGAGACCACACTTAGGACGGCATGAGCCTCTGGAAGGCACGCCAACAGTGGAGCGTGTAACGGCTGGTAGCGAGAAGTCCTCTCCGATGACTGCAATGAGAGACGTGCCCAGAAAAGATCTGAATCATTCGGAAGGAAAGAGTCCTGTGCTGCCACCTTGCCCACTAGACGACGACCGGTTGGACTGCCCCCACGGCACCAAAGCCAGTACGTGGAGCCTGCAGCCGGAACGACTAACAAGTCATCACACATTTACACACTCATTACCTCCTCTAAATCACCATGGCCGAGATCTGCCAGCACCCCCTGAGAGTTAGCACCTTCACGGCGCGCCTTATTCTGGGCGATCAGAGCTTCCGCCCACACCGTTGCACCGTATAGTGCCATTGACTGGACAACCCTGGTCTATTTCCACAACTTATAGAGTAATCTCCACTACAGCTGCAGTTGTAGTAACTGTATTTTTGTGTACACACACTATACTCAATCTTCGAAAGTATTAGAAAATGAAAGCAAAGAAGTAGTGGCAATTACGTAATATAAATCCTGGATGACAACGCATCTCTTTAGAATTAAGGATTTTTTACATTGTGTAAGTATGTGCATACTTACTGACACAGTTCTTTTTATGTTACGCATATATTTTTTCTTTGTAAAAAATTCTGCGCCCTTTGTAGGCACGTACCTACTTTGTCTTAGGGTTAATCCGCCACTGCCTGAATCGAACCCGAGACCTTAGCACAGTAGTCGCATATGCTACCACTGCACTACCGAGGCAGTCCAATTTTTTTTTATTATTGTGAGAACAAAGATAGAGCAACACATAGTAAAATTAAAAAAGTAGTAGAAATGACAAGAAGAATTATCGCGCTATAGTACATGTCATTGTAATAGGAATAATTATAGGTATACATACATGTATCTACCCATGAATGATAATGCTGGCACGTGTGTGCATTACGAATGAACAGCGTAAAACGTGCCATCTAGACATAGTACAATCAAATTGACAAGCAGTCATAGACCTTCCATATAAAACGCATTTATATATAGGTACTTCAAAACAAAGTTTTATGACAAGCCTTTGTATTTTTTTCATAATAGTCATAACTGTCAGTCACGTTCCAATAAAAACACAAACTAAATGAAGACGAATTGCATTTCATTTATTAGTTTCTCCGGTTTTGAAGTGGGTTAAAAATAAAACGCCTTGGGTATTGATCAACGCAGCTGTGCATTTTACCGTGACTGTACAGTTTGAATGTCTGTTTTACTTAATATTTAGTACTCTATGCCTAATCATTCTGGTCCTTCGAGCAAAATAGTGTTGTTTGTAAACTGGTTTACACTTTGCTTACTGATGCGAGGTATTGGCCCACATCTATATTTAGATCTTAGTTATTGTACTAAGAACACATATGTTTTTATTTAATTGCGATAGAGATATGGGAAGGTGACCTACTACGTGAGCTACTTCCTCGAATACCAGAAGTATATGCCAAGACCTCATCTCCCTCCAGTTTTCAAGTAGTAATTCAATCATTTTTTGCAAATATAAAATTATATTTTTCTTCATATACAGCGCTTGCCATGTATGATATTGTGACGAACGCCTTAGCCCTCCTCCCATGCGGTATTCCCTCCATAGGTACATTACCTTTGTATGTATACATATTAATAAAGATATTATGAATATTTATTTGTAAGCGTAGTAGTATTCTTTAGCATCATCTTCGACTAATTAGGTACACAGTCTATATCTATGCATTGCATTATACCCACTATATTATAGTCGTACAACGTACTGATTTATTTTAATTAAGGAAGTTAACACCCCGACCATCAATAGCATACTGGCTACTGTACCTAAGCTACTTTTTGTGGTATAAAAATATAAAACCAAATTCTTAAACAAAAAGTAAAGTTCAAGGTTTGACATAATTTCGAGGAATCTAATTAAAAATCTTCTTAGAATTAAAACTAACAACGATGACTAAACAAAGACTAACATTTAATTAAGTATTTCGAAGTAGGAAATTCAGTGAGCAATTAAACGTATTATGAGTATTTACTCTAGTAAACCGAGTTAAAAATAAAATGCATAGATTATAACCAAGTCACTTTGTAATTGCGCAGGAGACGAATTTTTCTTGCGCCGCGCCATATCTACAAGATACGAGATATACTACCTAGGGTATTAATTGAAAACGGCATTCATTTATAATGATACAGTATCTCCGGTCTTTTTTCCTTTAAGGAGTTTACTGAGAATGAACAACACACCTATAAATACAATATTATAAGTATTTCTATTAAGTTTGTACAATTTAGATTAGTTAGGAATGGACTAACTAACTGTGAAAATATTAGTATCAATAATATACTACTAATTGTTTTTTGAAAATCAACAATTAGTATAATAAAGCTGCATTTAAACGTATACGACGATTTATAGACGGAATGTCAACGTTTTTATAGACTTCGTTTAGAAACATGTTTACAGGAAATGCTGTTTTAATAATATTAAATAATAAATTAACTATTAATACCGATTACTATTAATATTTATCTTACTATTAAAATATTTGGTGACGTTTAGACATGGTAATATATTTTTGAATAATTAACCAACGAAATG